CACACACACACACACACACAGAGTGCATGCTCCTTCAGAGCCCAGTCCTCATTTTGTTTCATCACACACCCCTCTTAAGCAACCCACTGCATTCAACATAAAAGCCAATGGAAGAGTTGTAGGTTAGCTGAGAATGGCCTTCCTTCCTTCCTTCCTTCCTTCCTTCCTTCCTTCCTTCCTTCCTTCCTTCCTTCCTTCCTTATTTCTTTCTCTCTTTTCCTTCCTTCTTTCATTTCTCTTCCTTCTCTCTTTCATATTTCACTTCCTTTTTTCCTTCCTTCCTTCTTCCTTTCTTCCTTTCTTCCTCCCTTCCATATCTCTCTCTCTCTTTTATATTTTCCTTCCTTCCTTCTCTCTCTCTTTCATATTTTCCTTCCATCCATCCATGCCCCCATCTCATATTTCTTTCTTTCCTCCTTTCCTTTCTTTTTCCCATTTTTAAGAAGAGGCTGGACATTCACCTGTCTGAAATGGTATAGGTTCTCCTACTTGAGCAGGGGGCTGGACTAGAAGACCTCCAAGGTCCCTTCCAGCTCTATTCTATTCTGTTCTGTTCTATTCTATTCTATTCTATTCTATTCTATTCTATTCTATTCATCTTCTCTCTTTTTCTATTCTATTCTATTCTATTCTATTCTATTCTATTCTATTCTATTCTATTCTATTCTATTCTATTCCTATTCTATTTTTTTCTTATTCTATTCTATTTCCTATTCTATTCTATTCTATTCCTATTCTATTCTATTTCTTATTCTATTCTATTTCCTATTCTATTCTATTCTATTCCATCTTTATTCTGTTCTATTCCATCTTTATTCTATTCTATTTTATTGTATTCTATTCTATTCTATACTCTATTCTATTCTATTCTATTTCTTATATTCTATATCCTATTCTATTCTATTTCTTATTCTATTCTTTTCTATTCTATTCCATCTTCTATTCTATTCTATTCCATCTTTATTCTATTCTATTCTATCTTTATTCTATTCCATCTTTATTGTATTCTATTCTATTTTACTCTACTATTTTATTCTATTCTATTTCTTATTCTATTTCTTATTCTGTTCTATTCTAAAAACAATATGGTGTGTATTTTTGGCAAACCATCTGGAGAGATGCCTACTTAGCCTGGCACAAACCCCCCCCCCCCGTCTCGGGAAGAGCTGAGGGCAGTTGCTTCAGGGAAGCTGGCCAACCCTCTGACTCAGCCACCCGGCAGCAGCCTGCCGTCCTGCTCCCTCAGGCTTCTTCCTGGCTGGGGAGGCCCTTCTTTGCCCCAAGAGCGCCAGGGCTGAGTCACAGCTTGGCAGCTTCAGCCCTGATGCTGGCAGGGAGAGGGCAGCACCCCCGGGGCAGGATTGGAACGGCATTGAGGAACCTGAAGCAGGAGGAAGCGATGGGGGGAGAGATTAGCTAGAACATGCCGAGTGGTGAAGAAACAGAGAGAACATTTCCCTGATCCACGCTTGGAGACGGCCAGAAGGAGAGGCTGGGAAGCGACTGAGTCAACGCCCGTCCTCGGCGTGACGCAGAGAGGGTCTGCCGTCCGAGGACAATCTGCCCTTGTCTCGTGGCACCTTTTTTTGTTCCTGGTGAGGCACGGGGGTGCTTAAAAGCTTGTGGGCCTGTTCGAATTCTCAGTATTTCTGCAAAAATAGGGCCCAAGATGCAAATCTTCCATCCGGACCACCTAACCTAAATGCACCCTAAATGGGCCTCAGCCCTGTTGAGATGGGGGTAAGTAGATGCTGTGGGGCAGAGCATCTCTCCACTAGAATCCTGGAGCTCAGAGGGACCTTGGAGGGCTTCTAGCCCACCCACCCCCCCCCCCAGCTAAGGCAGAAGACCCTATCCCAGACAAGTGGCTGTCCAGTCTCTTCTTGGAAACCTCCAGGGATGGCCCTTGCATAGCTTCAGAAGGGAAGCCATTCCACCGCTTAATTGTCCTCAGTGTCAGGAAATTCCTCCTTAGTTCCAGGTTGCTTCTCTCCTTGATGAGATTCCATCCTTTGATTCTTGTCCTGCCTTCAGGGGCTTTGGAGAATAGGTGGACCCCCTCCTCCTTGTGGCAACCCCTCAAATACTGGTAGACAGCTATTGTCTCACCCCAAATCCTCTTTGTTAGAGAATTGGTTGCCAACACTGCACTCTCTCTCTCTCCCCCTCCCTTCCTCCCTCCCACCCCTCTCTCTCCCTGTCTCCCACTCTCTTTCCCTCCCTCTCTTCTTCCCTCACTCTCTCTCTCCCTCTCTTCCTCCCTCCCACCCTCCCTCTCTCTCCCTCCCTCCCTCTCTCCCCCTCTCTCTCTCCCTCTCCCTCTCTCCCTCCCTCCCTCTCTCTCCCTCCCTCCCTCCCACTCCCTCCCTCCCTCTCTCCCTCCCTCTCTCCCTCCCTCTCTCTTTCTCTCCTTCCCTCCCTCTCTCCCTCCCTCTCTCCCTCCTCCCTCCCTCCCTCTGTCTCTCCCTCCCTCTCTCCCTCCCTCTCTCTCTCCTTCCTCCCTCTCCCTCCCTCCCTCCCTCTGTCTCTCCTTCCCTCCCTCTCTCCCTCCCTTCCTCCCTTCCCCCTCTCTCTCCCTCCCTACCTCCCTACCTACCTATCTCTCTCTCTCAGAATAGAGCTGGAAGGGACCTTGGAGGTCTTCTAGTCCAACCCCTTGCCCAAGGCAGGAGACCTTGTGCCCTCCCATTCAAAAGGTTGTCCAGTTCATTTTTGAAGACCTCCAGTGATAGAGCACCCACAACTTCTGGAGGCCACCTGTTCCACTGATTAATTGTCCTCAGGGTCAGGAAATTTCTTCTTGGATCTAGATTAGATCTGTCTTTAATGATTTTCCACCCGTTAGCTCTTGCCCTGCCTTCAGGTGCTTTGGAGAATGGGTGGACCCCTCCTCTTCTCTGTGGCAGCCCCTCAGATATTGGGGGACTGCCACCATGCCCGTGGGTGGTACATATATAGAAGGGTTTTGGTTTCCAAATAGGGTGTAGAGTATAGAGTCCTAGGCCTGGAAGGGATCTTGGAGATCTTCTAGTCCAGCACCCTGCTCATCTGAGTCCATTTCTATTTTTGAAAACCTCCAGAAATGAAGTACCCACAACTCCAGGAGACAACCCATTCTACTCATTCATCGTTCTCATGGCCACGAAAGTCCTTCTTACTCCCAGGTTGGATCTCCCAGTGACCAGCTTCTCTCCATTGCGTTTTGTCCTGCATTCAAGTGCTTTGGAGAATAAATTGGGCCTTCTTCCCTGCTTCCAACATTGGAGATTCTGCTTGTGCAAAATGCTTGGAGGAAAACCGGTCCGGGTGATGCTGGGGACAGACTGGCCCAAACAGGTTGAAAGGGCCCCCCAGGATCCTGGGGACTGTAGTGGACAACGAGTGATCAAGGCTGCTGGACAACTTTCCCCTCATTGCTTAAGAATGTTCTGCAAAGGTCCTGGTTGACGAAGGTCACAATGGCCAATATCTAAAGGCCCAACTGGTGATTAGCCTGGAATGTGGCAGATTACGCCTTGGAATGAGAGGAAGGTCGAGGGCAAAGTTGAAAAACTAACCTATGAACAAAAAGAAAAATAAGAATGCCAACTAGCAGTCAAAAGACAGGAGGAAAACTCCCTAATTGCACAACACATAGAAAAGCTTAGCCGTCATTTCATCTGGGAAACAGCGACCGTCCTAGACCAGGCTCAGCCCCAAAATGCTAGAGAATTCCTGGCGCCCAGACAGGCACACCGAGGTAAACAATACCTTCGTAGCATTCAAGAGAGACCATCAAAAATCTAAAACATCTCTTCACCAACAATAAAAATAATAAGCAGAGATTAACATCGAGATCAACACTAGGGGAACGATCAAGCAGTAAATGGTCTAACACTCCCGCCAAACTACTTGTACATAACTAGAGAGCAAACTTAATTTAATTGTAGCACTGATGACATTACCTAGTTGGGTCATAGAATGTCTGTAAGAACACCACCTAGCTCAGGGAGTACCAAGGACCCCACAATCATCATCATCATCATCCTCTCCACAAACCCCATTCCCTTCTAGCACTGATGTTGTTACCTAGCTGGGTCACAAAATGTCTGCAAGAAAAACACTAAAGAGCAGCAAGGACCCCACAGTCCTCCTCTCCCTCTCCCCCTCCTCCTCCTCCTCCTCTCTGCAAACCCCCCTCCCTTCTAGCACTGATGATGCTACCTAGCTGGGTCATGAAACGTCTGCAAGAAGACCACCAAGCTCAGAGAGCACCAAGGATCCTCATTTCAGCCTTGAGCAACAAATTTGCTTTTCTGTTGGTAGAAAAATAACTGCATTGCCCATTTGTGAAACTGTACCCCCCCCCCCCGTCTGAAATTATTTGCTTAGGGGCGCCATGCAGCCGGTAGATATGTTTCAGGAACATTTTGGTCAGTCGTTGGGCAGATGGGAGTCCTTTGTAGGCGATGAACAGGTCTATTACAGTCCAGATGACAGTATTTCCCCTACTTTCAGGTAGGTCTACTATAAAGTCCATAGCTATTTCTTCCCAGGGTTGAGAAGGGTCTGCCACGGGTTGCAGTAACCCCGGGGTTTTCCCTGGGATTCTTTTCATTGTGGCACCTACAGTACAACTTTTTACATAGTTTTCCACATCCTTTTTCTCATGATAGATTTTTTTTTCCTGAATCTTTACCAGCTCCTCTCATGCTTAGAGGCAGTGGGCGGAGTTCAGGACTCCAGGTCGATGGAAAAGGATTTGAGCTCTTAGCATGATGTCAAGTGTCTGATTAACGAAACACTTCAAAGAACTTTCAGGCATTTTTTTAACCTAAAAAGCCTTTATTAGTATTACAGAGACATCAGCACAGCAAAAAAAAAATCAGATCTTGCATCTGACGGCAGTGGGGGGGGGGGGTGTCAGCCTCAAAGAAGTGACAGGCATTCACTTCCGTGTTCCCGGTCTCCACCCCACTCCCCGCCCCCCACTCGTGAAATGGGAGACCTACCACTGGCACCGTGCCTGGCAGAGAAAGCCGCAGCCGGCACTGGGTGATGCAGATGCCATGTTTCCCAGGCCCCGGAGCGCCTGCCGGTGGGCCCGGAGGAGGAGGAGGCTCCTAGTGCCCAGCAGAAATTCTGGCCAACAGGTTCCCTGTGAGGAGAAATTCAAGAGTTTGAACTATCTGGCTTTGAAAGGGGACTCTGCTGAAGAGGCTGATGAGCTGGGATGGTGGAAGGGTTGGAATGCCCACCGCCAGGAGTTCGATCCTGACCAGCTCAAGGTTGACTCAGCCTTCCGTCCTTCCCAGGTCGGTAAAATGAGGACCCAGATTGTTGGGGGGGGGGGCAAAAGGCTGACTCTGTAAACCGCTTAGAGAGCGCCGTGCTAAGTGTGAAGGGAGGGAGGGAGGGAGGGAGGAGGAAGGAAGGAAGGAAGGAAGGAAGGAGGGAGGGAGGGAGGGAGGGAGGGAGGGAGGGAAGGAAGGAAGGAAGGAAGGAAGGAAGGAAGGAAGGAAGGAAGGAAGGAAGGAAGGAAGGAAGGAAGGAAGGAAGGAAGGAGGGACCCTGGTGGCACAATGGTTCAAATGCAGTATTGCAGGCTGACTCACTGCCTGCTGCCAGGAGTTCAATCCTGACCAGCTCAAGATTGACTCAGCCTTCCGTCCTTCCGAGGTCGGTAAAATGAGGATCCAGATTGTTGTGGGGACAAGAGGCTGACTCTGTAAACCGCTTAGAGAGGGCTGCAAAGTACTATGAAGCAGTATTGATATCAAGTGCTATTGATCTTGTAGTATTTTCCTCCCTCCCTTCCTCCCTCCCTCCCTTCTCCTTTTTCTTCTCCTCTTTTTCCTTTCCCTCTCTTTTTCCTTTCTCTGGTTCACTGGTCAGTTCTGCCCACCGCCAGGAGTTTGATTCTGACCCGCTCAAGGTCGACTCAGCCTTCCATCCTTCCAAACTTGATAAAATGAGGACCCAGATTGTTGTGGGGGGCGAAATAGTCTCACTCTGTAGATCACTGGTGTTTGCAAGGTCCTTCCCAGCTCTGTTATTCTATTTTTATGGTCCTGAATATGAGCCGCCTTGAGCTGTTCCAGACCTGGAGGGATCCTGCTTCCCTGGTCTTCTCCAGCCCTGGACCTCATGAACCATCACCACCCCTGCCTGGGACATCTGCAGCAAAGCAGATGTGGGGGGGGGCTCTTGCTAGCCTGCCCTGGGCACCCTCCCTCTGGCTAATGCCAAAATCCCCATCCTTCACTGAAACCTGCAGCCTCAGGAAGTCCCTTTGGGTTGGTGGGGGGCAGGACAGGAGACCATCTCAAGGAGACCAGAAGACTCCAGGACTGGAGAAATGGAGGGGAAGACTCCGCTTCCCTGTAGGCCAGGCGGGGGGACCCCAGAGGGCATCCAGGCTTACCTCCAGCCCCAGTGAGCGTGAGGCCCGCTGAGAGGACCAGGAACCCGAGGAGGAGCCCATGGTGCTGCTGCCAGCCATGTGGGGACTCAGTCTGAGCTGCACCAGCCTCCCAGTCAGGAGGGGAACTGGGGAGAGGTCGCCCACAGAGTTGTGCAAGGATTGCACCGTTAGGAGGGTGGGCAAAAGCTGGCACTGGTTTTCCTGCTGCAATCAGCTGGGCGGAGTTGAACTTGGCCCAGGCCTGTTGCCCTCCCCCCCCCCAGCTGAGGAAGCCTTTCTCCTCCATTGTCATTGTCATTCTATACACACACACACACACACACACACACACACACACACACACCAGAAAGGGCTTCTGCAGTCAAAGAAGGGCGTTTTGTGGGCCTGAGGCGGGGCTGCTACCAGCCCAGCCCTTGGCAAAGCATCCATCCGTTGAGCCTCTGTGGGTTGTGTGTCCTAATTATTGTTTCAGCATTAAAGAATATTTTGACATTCCCACCGGTTGCAAGCCAGCCAGGGAGGGCAAAATTCCCACTTGAAGGGAGGCAGGCAGGTTTTCTAAATAAGACGAAAGAGTTCAAAATTCTGTCCTTTCTAAGTCAACCTCACAAGCTCTTAGCAGCCCCCTATTTCTGCTTGAATAGGGGGTTGGACTAGAAGACCTCCAAAGTCCCTTCCGACTTTGTTATTCTGTTGTTCTACCCTGGTTCTGGGCCAAGAACCCCCTGGTAGAAAATAACCCCTGATTCTCCTGGTTGACCCCCCCCCCTGGCCTGGCATCTACCCCTCCCCCCAACGGAAGGCTTGATCTCTTCAGCCTTCCCTGATCCAGTTATCCTTGCATCAGGGACCCCAAGACCTTGTTAAGGCCACAGCTGGAATATTGCATCCAGATTTCTTCAGCTCTTCTTCTTGAAGGAAAAAACAAGCGCAGAGGCCTTTTGAAAAAGCAGTTATGATGTTAAAGTTTGAAGAGAGTTAAGGGTTTTTATGATTTTGTTCATTGTATAATTAGTAAACTTAAATAGATTATGTTTAATATGTTTGCATAATCCTGTGTTTTGCTCTGGGAAGTCGGGGGGGGGTGGATGGGTTGACGTTTAAGTAGTTCAGATAAAGTAGAAATAGTCTTATTGTATATAATATTAATGGTTTAATTTTGAGAGAGGAACTGCTCGGGCATTTCCCCTGGACCGCATCAAGAGGGAGAAGAAGAAGGTGAGAAGTAAGTAGGAAGGTGAAGGAGGAGAGAGGGTGAGTGAAGAAAAAGAGGGAAAGAAGTAAGTTGGTTTGAGGTGGGACGCGGTTTGGGGGGAAATGGGCGGGCAAGACCGAATGTGGTGTGTATCGATTTGTTTTGTTTTTTTATCTGAAGTATTTGTAAGATCGTTATGTATTGTAAAGTTGAAAATAAAAATTTTTACAAAAAAAAAAAAAGCACTTGGTCTGGACGAGAGCAAATCTCCACAGACAATTGCCAGTGTATTTCCCCCCTCCTGGGCATCCGAGGGTCTTTTCTTTTAGGAGTGGGATGTCCAGGGGAAGGTACAGCACCCAGGGGCCCTCTGGTCATCGACAAAAGCTTTATTGGCCACGCATCACAAACACCCACGCTCATCCTCACTTGCGCCACTGAAACACGGGCCGGCAGATGCACAGAAGGGCCCCGTAGATGGCCAACGTGAAAAGGGCTGTTCATGTAACCCCAGTGAACCCCTGGCTGCTCAAGAGGTGCCCGTCCCCCTGGGCTCTTTGGCAGCGTGAATCGTTCAGCCGTGAGGCTGGCCGAAAGAACTATTAGGCAACGCTGACGGAAGAAAGATCCATGGGTTCATCCTTCAATAATTTTTTGTTTGTTTTGGTGCCTTCAAGTCAGTTTCATTCCTGGACCACTCCCTGACGTTTCCTTGGCAAGGTTCCCGGAGGTGGTTTGTCACCGCCTCCTTCCTAGGGCTGGGAGAGAGTGGCTGGCCCAGGGCGGCCTTGTGCCTAAGGCAGGACTGGAACTCACAGTCGGCTGCTTTCTAGCCTAGTGCTTTCACTAGCAGACCTGAGTGGCTCTCTTGGGCTTGATTAGCTCGGCATAATTAGCGAACAAAGAGCCTCACAATGAAGCCCAAAGTCCCCATCAGCCTGCAGGGGGCCCCGGGGGTGCTGAGGGAGCCGGCTCAGAGGACCAGCAGGATGGGGCCTCCGTAGGACTTGAACTCATCGCTCCCTGCAGCTCCTCCTCCTCCTCCTCCGGGAGACCGAAGGAAAGACAACCTCTCTGGTTACAGGCTAAGAGAGTTGGGAGGGACCTTGGAGGTCATCTAGTCCAACCCCCTTCTATACCATTTCAGACAAACTGCCCAGCAGCAGCTGAACTGGGGAGGGGGGGGTCGTCCATTCTCTGCTTAGGAGAGCAATAGCCCTTAGCAATGACACTTAGACTTATATACCGCTTCACAGAGCTTTGCAGCCCTCTCTAAGTGGTTGCAAAGAGTGAGCAAGTTGCCCCCCACAATCTGGGTCCTCATTTTACTGACCTCGGAAGGACAGAAGGCTGAGTCAACCCTGAGCCGGTGAGAATCGAACTGCCAGCAGAAGAAGCCGGCAGTGCTGCATTGTAGCCACTGCACCCCCAAGGCTCAGGGGTGCTATCTTGTTCCTCTGTATTTGGGGAGGGGTCTGCAGAGTCAGGAGAAAAGGACTGTGTCCCCCATTCTGTGGAATCCCTCCCTGATGGGAAGGGAAGACCAAAATGGGCCCCCAGTACGCCCACAAGGAGTACCACTTTGGTAGAAACGGGGGGTGTGTGTGTGTGTGTGTGTGTGTGTGTGTGTGTGTGTGTGTACATTTCTACCACGAGGATCCCAGGTCAAGAGAGAGGAGTCCAGTAATAAAGTCCAGCCCAGCTGGGGAGGTTGGCCCCAGAAGGACTGGGCTGGGCTCTGGGGGGCAGGAGGAGGGGAGGCGGGACCCTCTTCCAGCTGGCAGCGTCTCATCCTGGATGCACGGAGGGGCTTTGGCTGCTGGGGGGCCCAGAGACGGGACCTTGCTTGCTCTGGGGCTCCAGTTCCAGGAGAATTTCTCAGCCTTGAGATCTTCCATTCCTGGGGCGTCTCCCAAGCCCCCTCCAGGCAGGGTCACGATTCCTCCCGTGAGGTGTGAAAGTGACCGGAAGTGTTGCCTTTCCAATTGCCTGGCTGAGTGCAAGGATCCCGTCTACGGGAAGTGTGGTGGGTCCCGCACATTGTCACTTGTGCAGTTTGCTCAGTGCAAAGGAACGGCTGTGGGGCGTCTCCTGGGTCCAGACGTGCTCTGGGCACCTGCAGGTTTCTCTGGGGTCTCTCAGGCTCTCCTCCTGTCCATCAAAGGTGGGGCAGATGTTATAAAAGGAAGGTGCCCCGATGTGGAAGCAGAGCTTGGTGTGGTGCAGAGGGTCCCTTCTTCCTGTCAGGGACCCCACCCCCACTCTGGGGGAGCCATGAGACTCACCCTCCCCCTCCCCCTGTCCCTTGACCTCTTCTCCTCCTGAACCTCCTTTGGGATAATGCCCTCCCCAGTTCAGCTGTTGGGCAATGTGTTGAAGAAGATGGTCCTCCTGCCAGCCTGGTCAGGATGCCAGAAGGTCCCAGGCAAGGAGGACTTCCAGGAGGAGGAGAGGCTGGGCCAGAACCCCTTGCCCACTTTGGTCCAGCTCATCCCCTGGGCAGACCAGAACTGATCCATGCTCAGGTGACCGGAAGGTCCACCATGGCTTCACTGGGGGATTAGGGTCACAACCTCACCTTTCTGATTGTGAGAAACGCTCCATGTCCAAATTAGAAAGTTCCTGTGAATGTGGAGGCCTCCTAGAAAGACAGGATGGGGAAAAGACACTGGAGGTCATCTAGCCCAACCACCCTCCAGGGCAGAAAGAGCATCCTGGAGAGATCTTGTCCCATCTTTGCTTTGTCACGGAGAAGAGGGAGTCAAGCTACTCTCCAAAGCACCTGAAGGCAGGACAAACAAACGAGGGATAGAAACTCAGCAAGGAGAGAAGCAACCTGGAACTAAGGGAAAAAATTCTGTCAGGGAGAAGAATCAATCTGTGGAACAGCTGGCCTCCAGAGGTTGCAGGTGCTGCATCAAGGGAGGGTTTTGAAGAAGCGACTGGACAGAGGTATAGGGTCACCTGCTTGAGCAGGGGGTTGGACTAGAAGACCTCTGAGGTCCTTTCAGACTTTGTTATTCTGAATTCTGTATTCTGCTTGAAACCCTCAGTCGTGGAGCCCCACAACCCCAGTGGGGATCCTGCCCCATTGCTTTCTAGCTCTCCCAATCGGGCCATTCCTCCAGCTTTCAAGTTTCGGTCTCCGTGGCTGAAAGATTCGGCAGGGTGAAGCCCTGGAGGGAATTGTGGGCGGAAACCTCACATCTGAATGTTTGTTTTTACAGCTTGACCAACGAGGAGACCCACCCCAATTGGATCCAGTGTTCCAACTTGATCCAAAGAGCCTTCTTCTGTCCTGGACCACCCTGGAGACCCTCCCCCCAAATCCACCCTGGATTCATCCCTTCTTCTCTGCAATAAAGCTTTGGTTCCAGCTGCCCTCTCGGTCTCTGGTGTCTCCTTCTGCCCCTTTGGGGGTTTTCCCTCCCCACCTTGACCCGAGTCCCCCCCCCCCATGTCAGAGGAAGAGGAGCTGTTCCCCAATGTGGCTTTCCAGAGAGAATCCGCAGGGGAAGAGCCTCTCTTGTTGCGAGAAATCGCTGCCTGAGGGTCAGTAACTGAGTCCCCACGAAGGGCTTACTCCAGAGTAAATCTGGAGTGGACACAGGGATTCTGCTATCCTGCGATGGCTCCACACGGATGGTCTGGCTGGAGGCCATGAGGCCAATCAGAGAAAGCTTTTTGCCTTTATTTAAATTAAGCAGAACAGAAATAAAAGAGAAGCAGGCAAAAAACAGCAAAAGAAGACAGAATGAGAGGAAAAAAGATTAGATATACGAGAGCTTCTCACGCATATGGATATTTGCCTTGTATTTTCCACACAAGATATTTGCACGCCATCTGTTCATAAGTCACCAATAACTTCATTTCTTCAATGCGGGGTGATTCGTGTGGGCATCGGGAAAACGTCAACCCTTTTCCAGAGTCCAGTTAAGGACTGCAATGCCCCCTCCCAGAACAGAGCGACCGGGGGTCTCCCCAAAGCAGATTCCCACCCATCCTTCTTTTGTCCCTGCGTCTCCCCACGCCCGGCCATCCCCCTTTCTCTCCTTCACACAACCACAATGGATGCCTTCCTTCTTTGGGGTTTCTTGCACACTCTCAGCTGGGGAAAAAAATTCCACTTCACGGCCATTTGCACACCAGGTCAGCCCCACTGGAGCGGAGCCCCCAAGCCAGTCTCTACAAGGGGTCCTCCCTGTGGCCATCATAGGGTCTGGCTGCTGGAGGGGCTGACAAGCACTCACTCCACCCCACCCCACTTGACTTATGACTAAAATTGAGCCCAAAATTTCTGTTGCTAAGTGAGATTATTATGAAGTCAGTTTTGCCCTATTGGACGACCTTTCTTGCCACAGTTGTTAAGGGAATCACTGCAGTTCAGTTAGTAACACAGTTGTTAAGTGAATCTGGCTTCCCCATTGACTTTGCTGGTCCAAAGGTCGCAAATGGGGATCATGTGACCCTGGGAATGTTGCAACCGTCATAAATATGAGTCAGTTGCCTAGAATAGAATAGAATAGAATAGAATAGAATAGAATAGAATAGAATAGAATAGAATAGAATAGAATAGAATATATGGAATAGAATAGAATATAAGGAATAGAATAGAATGGAAGGGAAGGGAAGGGAAGGGAAGGGAAGGGAAGAGAAGAGAAGAGAAGAGAAGAGAAGAGAAGAGAAGAGAATATGGGAATTAACAGAACAGAGCAGAGCAGAGTAGAGTAGAATATGGGAATTAGAATAGAATAGAATAGAATTACAGAATAGAATAGAATAGAATAGAATAGAATAGAATAGAATAGAATAGAATAGAATAGAATAGAATAGAATAGAATAGAATAGAATAGAATAGAATAGAATAGAATAGAATAGGATGGGATGGGATGGGATGGGATGGGATGGGATGGGAAGAGAAGAGAAGAGAAGAGAAGAGAAGAGAAGAGAAGAGAAGAGAAGAGAAGAGAAGAGAAGAGAAGAGAAGAGAAGAGAAGAGAAGAGAAGAGGTCAAAAGTAACTTTTTTTCAGTGCTTTTGTAATCTTGATCAGCCAATAAATGAACAGTACACAGATAGAAGAGATATTTGTTGTGACCTTGGAGGGGGTGAAGAGTCACTGAATTTTATACCTGTGATGGAAATTGGAAGCCACTCCACACATTTACTTTCTCTTTCTTATATTTTTATATTTTTCTCTTACATTCTTTACTTCTTTCTATCTTTTTTTAGTCTGCATTAAATTTTAATATTTTCATAAAATGATATAAGTTAAAAAGGAAAAGCTGTCATCAACATCGGGACCAGGGAGGTATGGCTTTGTAAAAATGTTATCTACATTTATTCTTTGAATTCTGTATCATCCTCATCCTTAGTTTTCATTTTGGAAAAAGAGAAAAGCTTCGGAGCGAAAATGAAAAGCTCCCAGGAGACCCCAGGCCGCTCGCCATCCCCCCCCCCAGAGCTGCAGCTGGCCCACGGCGCAAAATCTCCCTGGATGGGTGGGGGGCTCCATCACGACCAGCCCAGACTTGCAATTCGCCAGCCGAGGAGCCCCAGCAGGAGCCAGAGGGGGGAATTTCAGAATAACCGACTTGGAAGAGGCCCTGGAGGTCTTCTAGTCCACAGGTCGGCAACCTGAGGCTCCGGAGCCGCATGCGGCTCTTTGAGCCTTCCCTTGTGCTCCCAGCCTCCTCTGCCTTTGCAGAGAGAGACAGAGACAGAGAGAGGCAATTGCGCTTCCCTGCGTGTGTGTGTGTGTGTGTGTGTGTGTGTGTGTGTGTGTGTGCGGAGCTCCTCCCTTTGCTGCGTCTCTGCAGGAAGCAGGAAGGGCAGGAGAGAGCTAGCTAGCCCAGCTAGGCTGACTCAGGAATTCTGGGAGTTGAAGTCCATGAATCATAAAAGACAGGAGGTTGCCTACCCCTGAGATTGTTGGAGAACAACTTGAAGCTTGCCAGGTGAGCAGCAGATGGGGGGGGGGAGAAAGAGAGAGAGAGAAAGAGAGAGAGAGAGAGGGAGGGGGAAAGAGAGAGAGGAAAGAGAGAGAAAGAAAGAGAGTGGGGAAAGAGGAGTGGCAGACCAAGGGCAGAGAGGGAGGGAGGGAGAGAGACACAGAGAGAGAGACCCTTTTGACATCTAAAATGAAGATAACACTGCATATATCCTTTTTTTACCTATGTGTGTATGTAATTTTATTCTCTTAAAGCATTCTCTCGGTGATCATTGTTTTAATAGTATGGATATTCCCAAGAGTCATATTTTTACTTTTATTTTTAACGTGTGTGTGTGTATGTGTGTGTGTGTGTGTATACACACACACACATACACAAACACACTCTCTCTCTCTCTCTCTCTCTCTCACACACACACACACACACACACACACCTATAATAAAGATAAAAAAGGATATATGCAGTGTTATCTTCATTTTAGATATCAAAAGGGTTTTGCGGCTCCCGGTGTTTTGTTTTTGGTGGGAAACGGGTTCAAGTGGCTCTTTGAGTGTTTTGGGTTGCCTACCCCTGTTCTAGTCTAACCCCCTGCTCAAGCAGGAGTCCCTAGATCAGCAAAGTCCAACTTTGGAACTTTAAGACTTGCGGACTTCAACTCCCAGAATTCCCCAGCCAGCCAGGCCGCCTGGAGAATTCTGGCAGTTGAAGTCCACAAGTCTTAAAAAGTTCCCGAGATTGGACATCCCTCCCCTATAGCATTCCGGACAAATGTCTGTCCAGTCTCTTCTTGAAAACCTCCAGGGCATTCAGACGCCCCCCAAAGCCAGGTCAGTGAAGCCCAGAAGCAGAAGGGGGATTTCCCACCAGCAATGATATTTAATGTGGAGGAAAGCCAGCTTTTATACTTAGGCAGGAAAAACCAAAGGCACAAGTACAGATACAGTTGTTCCACTGGTTTCATTCTTCTCACTGTTAGGAAAAAAACAAAGGTACAAGTACAGGTTAGGTGAGATCTGGCTTAAAAACAGCCACTGGGAGAGGGACCTTGGAGTCCTAGTGGACGATCCCTTGACCATGAGCCAGCAATGTGCAGCAGTAGCAGCAGCCAAAAAAGCTAACACAATCCTGGCTTGTATAAACAGAGGCATAGAATCAAGATCACGTCAAGTGTTATTACAGCTTTATAAAGCCTTAGTAAGGCCACACCTGGAATCCTGCATCCAGTTTTGGTCACCCCATTACGAAAAAGCTGCTGAGACTTTGGAAAAAGCGCAGAGAAGAGCAACAAAGACCATTAAATGCCTGGAGACTAAAACATATGGAGGATTTGGGTTTGGCCAGTCTAGGGGGAAAAAAGACTAGGGGGGGGGGAGAGACGATAGCAGCATTCCAATATTTGAGAGACTGCCACAAGGAGGAGGGGATCAATTTATTTTCCAGAGCACCTGAAGGCAGGACAAGAAACAGTAGATGGAAACTCATCAAGGAGAGAAGCAAGCTGGAATTAAGGAGAAACTTCCAGACAGCGAGAACAATTAACCAGTGGAATCTCCAGGGAGATTTTTCAAGAAGAGACTGGACAGCCACTTGTCTGGGGTGGGATGGGGTCTCCTGCTTGAGCAGGGGGCTGGACTAGAAGACCTCCATGGTCCCTTCCAGCTCTATTTTCATTCCGATTCAATGGGTCCGCGGGTCCCCGCCAGGCGTCTCCCGCGCCTGGAGGCTGAGACAGGCTGGTCCTTCTGCCCTACCCGGGGGGTGGGACAGAGAAGTCGAGGAATATCGAGGGTCACCGCCCCCCTCCTTTTATGAAACCACGGAGCCCGCCCCTCCGCCCCGCCCGGGTCCCGCTGACGTTTCCCCGCCGGACCCCGCACGTCGAAACCTTCCCCGCAGGAGTCATCGGGAGCCGCGAGGCGGGGCGGGGCGAGGGGGTTTCCCAGTCCGGCCCTCCGGAGAGGAGGAAAGGGGGGGTCGGGGTGCCGCGCTCTTAGTCCGGGAGAGGAGTCGGAGGCGGCTCAGTCGCCCAGCCAGCTTCATGGGGTCCAGTCGCAGCCTCCCCGTCCTCCTCCTCCTCTTCTGGGGCGCCTTGGCCCTCTGGAGCCCCCTGCTCTCCGTGTCCGGCATGTGTAAGTGGGGCGAGCTCCGGGGCGAGTGGGGGGGGGGTAAGGCGAGAGGGGTGGGCGGCGGGCTGCCTCGCCCAGAGGGTCCTTCTCTTCGTCGGGTCTCGAAAGCCCCCGCCCCGTCTGAACGCTCCCCAGCTGGAGCCTCGGGGGTGCTCAGAGAAACCCCCCCCATTCCGCCCCCCCAGAGACGCCCCGCTCTCTCCCCTGGACCCGGGAACGAGGGTCCTCCGCCCTCCGCCAAGCCCTAGACAGGAGGGGGGGGGGCGAGCGAGGCTCCGTTGGGCCAGGCTTCCTTTCGGGGTCCCCGTCTCGGCCCGGCGCCCTTTGGGTTTGGGGAAAAGGGGGTCCCGGCTTCCCAAGGACGCCGCCCCCCCTCGCCGTCAGCGGACCCCGGACGGCTGCGGGGAGGCAGGCCAGGCGCGTCCGCATCGAAGGGGCGAGCGGGGAGGGGCGAGGTCCGTCCCGGCCCGTCCGGGGACCAGGGGCCACGAAGGAGGACCCCGGCGGCGCCCGGCACGCATTTCCGCTCCCACGAAGCTTGCGTTTGCCCGATGTGCGTAACTCCGAGGCGGGGGAGGGTTGGGCAAGGCCGATGAATCACGTCGCTTCGCTCCCGTCGGGGAGTCGCCCCGCCAGGCGGCTGACTCGGAGGGAGCCTCGGACGGTTTGGGGGGGGGCGGAATCGGCTCCTCCGGCAGAAGGAGACGTCGATGGACGGGGGGGGTGCCCGTCCCCGCCTTCCCCCACCCACCCACCCTCCCCGGGCAAAGGCTGCCGAAGAGGATCGCAGCAGCCCGCGGGGTTGTTTTAATGCTTGTTTGTTTATTATTTATTTAATTTCTATGCCGCCCCTCTCCCCTACAAGGCGACTCTGGGCGGCTTGCAGATTTTAAAACCCAGTGCAAAGTAATTATATTGTAGTACTAATGGTATAATCAACGTTCTTAATCAGGGGTAGGCAACCTTGGCTCTTTTAGGACTCATGGACTTCAATTCCCAGAATTCCTGAGCCAGCCATGCTGGCTCAGGAATTCTGGGAGTTGAAGTCCATGAGTCCTAAAAGAGCCAAGGTTGCCTACCCCTGTTCTTAATAGTTTAATGCAGTGTTTCCCAAACTTGACAATTTTAAGGCATGTGGACTTCAACTCCCAGAATTCCACAGCCAGCACCTGTTCTTAATAGTTTAATGCAGTGTTTCCCAAACTTGACAATTTTAAGGCATGTGGACTTCAACTCCCAGAATTCCACAGCCAGCACCTGTTCTTAATAGTTTAATGCAGTGTTTCCCAAACTTGACAATTTTAAGGCATGTGGACTTCAACTCCCAGAATTCCACAGCCAGCAACGCTGGCTGTGGAATTCTAGGAGTTGAAGTCCACATGCCTTAAAATTGTCAAGTTTGGGAAACACTGGTTTAATGTTATAATAAACACCCAGCAACAGAGCAGGGAGTTACCGTGCTTTTGATACAAACGTTCGTAGAACTACAGAAGGTAAGAGTTTGTAGGCTCTGGGAGGTCATCTAGTCCACCCTCTGCTTAGGGCAGGAAGGGCCCTGACATATCACACACACGCCCAGCCCCCGGCTCTGTTCAGACGCTCCCGTAAAGGAGAGCTCCTTGCTTCTCACGGGTGTCCGTGCCAGAGACAAAGCGCTGTGTCTATGCTCGGGGTTCTCCCCAAATGAATCTACCTCCTCGTGGCTGAAACCTTTGTTTGTCGTTCTGTCTTTGGGACAATCCTGGCAATCTTCCACGCCATTCAGATGCTAGGTCTCCCACTGCCTCCTCTCCTCCCCTCTCCCCTTCTCGTGGCTAAGCCTGCCTCCGAACAATTGCTTGTTTGAATGCTAACCAACTCCGGGCATCTTTTTTCTCTTTCCATCCTGATCGTCGATTTCCCCCCCCCCCCCTCAGATTCAGGACACAGAATTGAGCGCAACGCCCCAGGTGTGACCTGAGCAGCAGCACAAAAGGCCGGGAACCGTGGCTTCTTTTCAGCCAGAGTCTGCACTTCTCCAGGGGTTTGGTCGGGTGGTGTCACACCGCTGGCTCGTGTTTAGCATCCCCCCCCCCCGTGCGAGGCTCCTCGGGAGGAGCTCCCCCCTCCTGTCCATGACGTCAGGTTTTTTTCCTCCTTTAAGACTTCGCTTCTTCTGCCTCTTTCGAAACGGCCTTGCTGGTTTCACCTGGCAGCCCCCTTTCCCTCCAGCCTTTTCCCCCAGCGATGCGCTGCTGGCTAAATTGTGACATGTCTTGAAAGAGTTTCGGCAGAGGGAAGTAGCTCCTTGGAATTCTTTGGGTCGAAAACGCCTCTCCCTTCCCCCCCCCCCCATTGCCTCTGGATAGCAGGCAATAACAGAATCACTAATTAGGGTATGCAACTCAAGCCAGGTCCGACTACAGCCATTTGTCTGGAATGGTAAAGGGCTTCCTGCATTAGCAGGGGGTTGGACTAGAAGACCTCCAAGGTCCCTTCCAGCTTCGATTCTATTCTATTCTATTCTATTTTCTGTTCTATTCTATATTTCTATTCTATGTTTCTATTCTATATTTCTATTCTATTCTATTTTCTGTTCTATTCTGTTTTATTCTATTCTATTTTCTGTTCTATTCTATTTTCTGTTCTATATTTCTATTCTATTTTCTGTTTTTTCTGTTCTATTCTATTTTCTGTTCTATTCTGTTCTGTTCTATTTTCTGTTCTATTCTATATTTCTATTCTATATTTCTATTCTATTTTCTGTTCTGTTCTATTTTCTGCTCTATTCTGTTGTATATTTCTATTCTATTCTATTTTCTCTTCTGTTCTATTTTCTGTTCTATTCTATTCTATATTTCTATTCTATATTTCTATTCTATTCTATTTTCTGTTCTATTATGTTCTATTCTATTTTCTGTTCTATTCTGTTCTATTTTCTGTTCTGTTCTGTTCTGTTCAAGGCCTCCAAGGTCCCTTCCAGCATGAGGATTAAAATATTCAGCATTCTGGTGTGACGTTTTCCCTCACTTCAGGGCCTCTGGGTAATTGAGTTTCAGTTAAAATATAACCAGTTAACAAAGACAACTAAAACAAACAAACACATTTAAAAAACAGCCTGGGATTTAGAAGGATCCTCCCTGGGTCAAGAGACAGCCCCAAAGCCCCCAAGGCTCTGGGTGCAAATTCTATTAGGGGGAGGGTCTCCAGCCTTGACCCTTCTAAGACTCGTGGACTTCAATCCCCCAGAAAGTTAGAGTTCCAACTGCCCAGGAGTTGAACTCCACAAGTCACACAGTGGCCAAGGTTGGCGACCCCTCTATTCGGGGGGCTGCTCTATCCCTCTCCACCCCCCACCTCCCAGAGCACCTACAATGGAGCAAAGTTCTGAGTTCCCCAAATCTTCTCTCTTGCCAGTCGAGGGAAGCTGCACCACCTTCCCCAACGCTTCGGAACGATGCGGGGAGCCCAAACACCGTTTTTTCTACAACGTCACCTCCAAGAGCTGCGAGCCTTTCGTTTACCACGGGTGCCCCAGGAACCGCAACCGCTACCACACCCTGGAGGAATGCAAGCGCTACTGCGGGAAGATTGGTGAGCCTGGCTCTTTGGCAGGGAGGGGTCTTCTGGAGGCGGGGGGGGGTCTGTTGAGCCCCTGCAGGAAAAGGCCCAAGCCAGCCTCGCTTTTTGGGGTGCTGCCCCTGCCCCTGCACGATGCAGCCCACCCTTGATTGGTCCTCCTTGGGTGCAGGAGTCCAATACGGGGTGGCGGGAGGCTCCCCCCTTTTCCTGCACCTCCTGTGCCCCCCCACACACACTGATGGGGTTTGTGCCAGTCCTTGTGGGGCTGCACGAGTGGCGCTTCCCAGAGCCCATGGCTGGATTCTGTTTTGCAGAAAAGCCGGGCTACTGCCCGCCGAGCCCCCGGGGCGCCCTGGTGCCATGCCTGGCAGAGTGCTTCCACGACGGTAGCTGCAAGGAGACGAAGAAGTGCTGCTCCTACGGCTGTTCCTTGCGCTGCATGGAGCCCGTCACAGGTGAGACCCAGAGCCAGCCGCTCTGTGGGAGGGGGGGGCATGGGCCGTGAGCACCTCCGTGGCTGTGTCTTGGCAGGCCACGCACGCCATCTGTAGGCCTCCGGGTGCAGCTGGCATGCTAATGGCAGAGTCCCCGGCTCATCTGCAGATGCTGGGCATGGTGGAGGGCACTGGGGTCTACCAGATGTTTGGGAGCTGCAAGCCCAGTCACACCAGGCCACGTGGCCAGTCGGACCAGCACCAAAAGTCCAGGGGCCGTGATGTCACTTCACTGTGATTGGTACCCGGGCCCTTCTAGGGATTCCAACTGGTTGGTAGTTTGCCCTGGACCAAGCCTTCTGGGTTTCTGATCCCCTTCCTTCCTTCCTTCCTTCCTTCCTTCCTTCCTTCCTTCCTTCCTTCCTTCCTTCCTTCCTTCCTTCCTTCCTTCCCTCTGACTCTCCCTCCCTCCTCCCTCCCTCCCTCCCTCCCTTTCTTCCTTTCTTCCTTCCTTCCCCCTCCCTCCTCCCTCCCTCCCTGCCTTCCTTCCCCCTCCCTCCCTCTTAAAGCATGTACATCGCCACCCACCTGGTGCCAACCTCTCCCCCCTCCCTCCGCCCTGCAGACCTCTGCCAGCTGCCTGTGGAAGAAGGCCCTTGCGATTTAAAACTACCACGCTGGTTTTACAACCCGAAGACTCAGCGATGCCAGAAGTTCGACTTTGGGGGCTGTGCAGGGAATGCCAACAACTTCAAAAAGCGTCGTTGGTGCCGGCTGAGGTGCCGCAAGAGAGGTGGGAGTGTGGCACTGCCGGGGGGGGGGGGGGGCTGAAGGGTGGGGAGGCCCTGTGCGAAGGGCCTTCACACCTTGAGGGCTGTGTGCAAAGAAGAGGAAGGAGAGCCAGCCCCCTCCCACCAGCAGCACTGCCAAAGGAGCCCTTTTCCTGCCCCCCCCCCGATGGTGCTGGGGGGTCTGGCCCTCTGGCCAAGAGGAAAGAGGACCCTGGACCCCCTTGGAACGCTGTCAGTCATATGTCCCAGAAGACTCCCTGCTCCACCCCCAAGCTGGGTGGGCTCCCCTCACCCCTAAGCCTGCTCCAGAAGAGCAGGTCAGCTTTTCCCCCCACCCTGACTAACTGGGGGGGGTCACGAAGACAGAGGCTGGGTGTCACCCTCCCGGAGGGACGCAGCCCCTCACAGCGGGGGAGGGGTGCCTCTCTGCCTCTGGGACAGGCCAGCCTAGCAAGTGGGAGGGGCTGTCCAACACCCCTGGAGGGAGGGCCGGGAATCCCCCCTCCTGCAGCCGCCTGTCCCCCCCCCATCCCCAGGGAAGACCGTTTCTGAGGCCTCCTTCCCTTTTCCAGGCTCTCCCTAAGGGCTCCGTGGAGGAAACCTCTGCCTGCTTCTTCGTGCTGAAGAAAGAGGGATGCATCAGGACGAGGCCAGGCGCAGGGAGCCTCCAGGCGCCTTTGGAAGGAAGGGAATTCTGGAATAAATTATTGCCCAGAGGAGACGGTGGTCCCGGACACTGTGCCAGTGCTCAGAAGGGCGCAAAGACTGCTCCACCTTCAAAGCATGGAATTTGCCACACCTGCCGGGCACCTTTATGGTGCCCCCCCCCTGTGCCTCCGTAGAAATTGGACAATGAATAAATAAAGCCACTTGCCACGGACTGCATGCCCCTCTGGCTGCTCTCTTCCCTCCTTGCCAGGCAGAGAGGGCAGCGTGTGCCAGTCCTACCCACCCAAGAAGCCAGCACAGACACAGGGGTGGGGGGAGGGCTGGGGGGGGGCTCTCTCCCTCCCCACACAGGAGCCGCCCAACTATTTTGCCCGGTTAACGCTCCCTGTTTCCTACCCAGTGGCTGCATTCTCACACCTCCCTTCAACCGGATCCTGAATCAACCTGTTTTTCTCGGTTCACACCACACACTGCATCATAAACTTGCCAAAGAGCAACACACAAACCGACAAAAGTCCCCAGATTTTGCCAGCTGTGAGACACGCTGGCCCAGGAGCCCCACAAACCTCTAATTAGGCAAGGATGGCCCAAGGATGAAGTGGAGAGAGAGCCTGCTCAAAAAAAAAAAAACTTCCTCCATGGCTCCAGATCAAGTGGGGGCCGTCCTGGGGGTCCCGTGCCTCAGTACTTGCATTAATGACTTAGAGGGGGGGAAATGAGTCTCAGAACCACAGATGGCACCAGGAGCCCCCCCCCCCCCCGCAGAGTTTGAAAAGGGTTTGGGGGAGGGGACAAAATGCAGCCCAGCCCCATCCAGACCCCTGCAAGGAGCCACTAAACAGGGCTGCAACCTTAAGAATGGTGTCAACTTTAAAGAATGGATTTCATAAAACATTTTTTGCAAGCTTGGGCTGAAGCAAGGAAAAAGATCTGAATAGAACGATTGCAGACAAGTGGCTGTCCAGTCACTTCTTAAAAGCCTCCAGGGATGGAGCACCCTCATCTGGTGGCAAGTTGTTCCACTGGTTTCATTCTTCTCACTGTTAGGAAAAAAACAAAGGTACAAGTACAGATTAGGTGAGATCTGGCTTAAAAACAGCCACTGGGAGAGGGACCTCGGAGTCCTAGTGGACGATCCCTTGACCGTGAGCCAGCCATGTGCAGCAGCAGCAGCCAAAAAAGCTAACACAATCCTGGGTTGTATAAACAGAGGCATAGAATCAAGATCACGCGAAGTATTAGTACCGCTTTATAAAACCCTAGTGAGGCCACACCTGGAATACTGCAGCCAATTGTGGTCACCATGTCATAAAAAAGATGTTGAGAACTTGGGGGGAAAAAAAGTGCAGAGAAGAGCAACTAAGATGATCCAAGGCCTGGAGACTAAAACATATGAAGAACAGCTGCAGGACTTGGGTTTGGCCAGTCTAAAGAAGAGAAGAACGGGAGACATGATAGCAGCCTTCCAGTATCTCAGGGGCTGCCCCAAAGAAGAGGGGGGTCCACCTATTCTCCAAAGTGCCTGAAGGCAGGACAAGAAGCAACGGATGGAAACCAATCAGGGAGAGAAGCAACCTGGAATTAAGGAGAAACTCCGTAACAGGGAGGACAACCAATTGGACAGAAGTTGTGGGTGCTTCATCTGACATGGTATAGGGTCTCCTGTTTGAGTAGGGGGCTGGACTAGAAGACTTCCAAGATCCCTCCCAGCTCTAATCTGATTCTAACTCAGGGTGGTGAACGTAGCTAATACTCCTCCCTCCCCTTATGGTCCTCACCACAGCAATCCTGTGAGGTGGGACTGGGGCTGAGGGAGACGAGCCCGTAGAAAGTCACCAGCCAGCTTCTATGGCTAAGGCAGGACCAGAACTCGGTGCTTTCCGACTCTGTCATTCCTCATTCTGGAGTTCCTCTCCTGGAAGCCAGGAGGCAGCGGTGGGTGTGGTGGCTGGAGAGGGATGCCCCCTGCTGGCCATTCGCTGCCCAGCATTGCAGAGGCTGCTGCCCAAACTCTCCATGGCCCAGAGGGTCCCAGGGCAGGGGGAGGTGGAGCAGGGGATGAGGAGCCTCGGGGCAGACCTGGGCTGGCCTAAACACACACACACCCAGAGGCCTGCAAGGTTTTCCACAATGGGTTGACCTCCCGGAACGTGGCTTCGGTGGCTCTTGTACACACCAGTTGGGGAAAAGCTATCCTGAGGCAGCCCAGAAGGACGATCGGAACGAAACCAGCTTCCTTCCAAGAATTGTGGGTGCCCCATCGCTGGAAGTTTTCAAGAAGAGACTGGACAGCCAATCTGTTTGAATTGATATAGGGTCTCCTGCTTGAGCAGGGAGTTGGACTAGAAGACCTCCAAGGTCCCTCCCCAGGTCTATTATTCTGTTATTCATTCATTGCTGGAGAAAACAACCCCCAGGAACAGGGCTTGCTGATCCATCACTGACATAAATGGAAATGGAGAATTTCCTCTGCCTTTTCTCAGTCCCATAAAACACAGCCCGAGCGTCACAATCAACCATCAGGGAGAAAAACCCCCAATACTTGCTGTAGCACAAGACCTTTATTGGGTCCAGCTGAGGAAGAGGCTGCCTCCAGAACCTGGATCAGCTATTGGGACAGAAATCAGGCAACTGGTCCAAACTCAGATGGCAGGAAGGTCCATAGCTTCTTAATCTTAATCCGAATAGAGCTGGAAGGGACCTTGGAGGTCTTCTAGTCCAACCCTCTGCTCAAGCAGGAGACCCTAAACCATTTCAGACTGTGGCTGTCCAGTCTCTTCTTAATAATCTCCAGTGATGGAGCAGCCACAACTTCTGAAGAGAAGCCATTCCAGTGGTTCATTGTTCTCACTGTCAGGAAATTTCTCCTGAATTCCAGGTTGCTTCTCTCCATGATTGGTTTCCCTCCGTTGCTTCTTGTCTTACCTTCCGATGCTTTGGAGAACACATTGACTCCCTCTTCTTGGTGGGAGCCCCTCAAATGCTGGAATGCTGCTATCATATCACCCCTTAGTCCTCCCTTTATCTGGACCGGCCATACTCAATTCCATCAACCATTTTGAATTTTGTATTTTAACCTGATCTTGAACCAAATAAAAAAAATATACGTTAAAAAAAACTTGATCAACTATACTGTTCCAGTCAGGATCACAGAGTGCTCCCTGTTCATGAGCAGACAGAGCCCGTGAATTTTATTAAGCACACCACGGCAGTGAGCTCAAACACAACAGGATTTGTGTAATGGGTGCGATTTAGACACGGCAGGCCATTTCAAATGTGCAAAAACTGCACTGGACTCTTGAAACTGGCTGCCGTGTCTACATCCCACTCGTTGTACAAATTCTGCTCCATTTGAGCTCAGGGGCCATGGTGTGCTTAATAAAATTAGTGGGGTGCATCTGCTCATAAAGAGGGGAACACTGGGTGATCTTGATGGGAACGCTACAGTTGACCGAGTTATGAATAAACCCAAATTTTAATTGTTCAGTCTTGCTTGGGAGGAGAAAATTCCACACCAACTGAATTCAGGAACTACAATCCGGATCGTTCTGAGAATTAAGCTGAATCTGACAATGAGAAGAGGAAGGGCTGAGCTCCGCAGAGCCCTGGGCTGGTGAGGGTGGGGATGATCCCATTTCTTTTCTTTTCTTTTTGCTTGAGGTTCATCAGAGCATGGGTTGGGGGCACACGGGGGGGAGGGGCCCTATCTAGTGAATTGCCAGGCTGCAACCGGGAGTTGTGAAGTGGTCCAGAATCCCACCACACCTGTACCAGATCTTCCATCTTGCTCACCACACATCTGGGTGGCTTCCCATTGCAGCCTCTGATGCCTCCTTGGGAGCTAAGACTTTCCACTGGACCCATGAGTTGGGGGTGGAGTGGGGATGAATGGGGATATGTGTGAGGGTGGGGGAGTTTGGGAGCTGTGATGGATACCGATTCCTTGGAACATCTCTGGATAAGGAGAAGACAGGAGATTGCCCAGAACTGCTCTGGACAGCTGCTCCTCAGAAGGAGAATTTCCATGGCTTTGAGCGGATTTGCCATCTTGCTCACATTTATGGCAGGGCAGTTTGCAAGTGTCACTTTCTAATATCCCACCAGCAATGAGTCCGGGGGTCTACCCAAGGCTCCTCCCACGCCTGGAGGTTGAGTGAGGCTGGTCCTTATGTCCTATCCGGGGTGAGGTGGGAAGGAGGCGGATATATCGGGGGTCACCGCGCCCCCTTTGGGAAGACACCGAGCCCTCCCCGCCTCTCCGCCCGGCTCCCGCTGCCGTTTCCCCGCCGGACCCTCAGCCCCGCAGGAGTCCTCCGGAGGCGCGGGGCGGGGCGGGGCTGGGCGGGGGGGGGATGTCCAGCCAGGCCCTCCGGAGGGGAGGGGAGGGAAGGGGGGGTCAGAGTGCTGCGCTCTTTGCCCGGGAGAGGAGTGGGAGGCGGCTCAGTCGCCCAGCCAGCCCCATGAGGTCCGGCCGCAGCCTCCTCCTCCTCCTCTGGGGCGTCTTGGCCCTCTGGAGCCCCCTGCTCCCCGCGTCCAACGACTGTGAGTGGGGCGAGGGCCAGGGCGGGTGGGCGGCGGGATGCCTCGGCCAGAGGGGTCTTCGGACCTCGAAAGCCCCCGCCCCGTCTGAACGCCCTCCAGCTGGAGCCTCGGGGATGCGCCCTGGATGCCCAAGAGAACCGCCCCCCATCCCGCAGGGCTGTGCGCCCCCCAGAGACCCCCGTTCTCTTCCCCGGAGGCGGGAATGGCGGTCCTCCGCCCTTGGCGAAGCCCCAGATGGGAGAAGCGAGAGGAGGAGGGCGAGGCTTCGTTTCGGGGTCCCCGTCTCGGCCCGGCGCCCTTTGGGCTTCGGGAAGGGGTGCCGGCCCATCTCGGAATCGGAAGACAGGGCGGGCGCGACCCTTTGAAGGGGGTCGTGGGAAGGGGCGAGCGGAGGGGGAAGGTCCGGAATCGGCTCCTCGGGCAGAATCCCGGAGAGGGGAGACTGACCCGGTGCAGAAGAAGACCTCGGTGAACGGGGGGGTGGATCCGGTCCCGGCCTTCCCCCCACCCTCCCTGGGCAAAGGCTACCGAAAGGGATCGCAGCAGCTCCAGGGTTATTTTAACGTTATATTCATTTATTTATTAAATTGCTCTGCCGCCCGTCTCCCCTACAAGGCGACTTTGGGCGGCTTAGAGATTATAAGACCAAGTAAAAAACAATTAAATAATAATAACAACAACAACATAATCAACGTTATTATTGGTAATAACATTATACTAACATTAACACCCAGAAACAGAGCAGGAAGTTACTAGATTTGATACAAATCTCGTTGAAATTGAAGCTCCCAACCCAAATTTGCTCTTCTCCTTGCTTTTGATTGATTGGTTGATTGATTGATCCCCCAGCTTTTTTTAAACACACACACAAACACACATTTATGGCTAGTTTTTCCTGCATAAACCTCATCCTCAGAGCCCCCCTCCCACAAAAAAAAACAAACCTGGATGGGGGCTTCTGCTTCCCGAAGGGCTTTTGCTCCCATTTTGTCTCTGTAGAAAAGAAGCAAAGAGGCATAATTCCACACGCCCCTCTCAGCCCCAAGAGAGGAAGGATCTCAAAGGAGGGGGGAGCATGACAGTTATGTACTGGAAGAAAAGAGGGGGGGTCTCACCTCTTCTCCAAAGCACCAGAGGGCAGGAGAAGAAGCAAGGGATGGAAACTGGCCAAAGAGAAAAGCAACCTGGAATTAAGGAAAAAGTACCTGACAGTGAGGACAATTAAACCAGTGGAACAGCTTGCCACCAGAAATCGTGGGCGCTCTATCACCAGAGATATTTAAGAAAGGGCTAGACCAGTGGTTCTCAACCTTTTTAATGCCGTGACCCCCAATCGGTCGTAAGTCGAGGACTACCCAACCGGTCGTAAGTCAAGGACTTTCTCTGCCCGGGAGTGTCGCACATGCGTGGTGCCGCCCCCTGCGCCGGCCGAGGCATAGCTGGCCAGTGACAGAGACGGCGCAGGCCGACCACCGGCTGGGCCACCCTCTGGCCCAGCCCAAGGGAGGTAAGCAACCCTCCTGCGCCCGCCGGCCCTTCCCACCTGGTCCTCTTTTACTTACATTTTTAGTAGTTGCCTCAGCAGGAGGGGTGGAACTTCCAGACCTAGCTCGCTTCTCTGCAGACAACTTGCAGCACCGTTTGCAGAATGGGACTTTTGGCGGGCTCAGCAGGGCAGAGACAGCCTGGACAATTCCTATTGGCTTTTGAAAGCCAATAGAATTAGACTCTATTCAAGAGAGTCTATTCTATTGGCTTTCAAAAGCCAATAGAATAAAAGGGAGTAGCACAGCTAAGGAAAAGGGGGGGGGGATGGACTGCGTTGTTTGGTGACCCCCGTGAAATGGTCGTTCGACCCCAAATGGGGTCCCGACCCACAGGTGGAGAACCACTGCTTTAGATGGTAATGTTTTCTAGATGGCATTTAACACTTGTGAGGTTAGCAAAAATGTTTAAAGATGTATCAAATAATTGTTGGAAATGTAAACAAAAAACAGGCACATTACCATCTTTGGTGGACGTGCTCTAAGGCTAAAAGATTTGGGTTAAGAATACATACATGGTTAGTGAAAATGATGAAAAAACATATAGATATTAAGCCAAAAATATGTTTGTTAGGTATAATTGTAGGTAATTATGAGAAAGAGTGTATATATTTAATTTTACATATATTAATTGCAGCAAGAATTGTATTTGCTCAATATTGGAAAAATGAAGATTTACCAGTGGAGGAAGTGTAAATTAAAAAAATCTTAGACTGGATAGAATGACATTGAAAATGAAAGAGAAAGAAGATTCAGTTTATGTTAGAATATGGGATACTTTTTATAATTGGCTAGAAAAATGAGGTAAAGGAACCTAATATGTATTAGTAAACTAGACATTGAAACACAGACAATATGTTGCTGATAATATTTTAAGCACTTGTGTTTATAAAACACACACACAGAGAGAGAGAGAGAGAGAAACACACACAGACACAGACACACAGACACACAGACACACAGACACACACACACACACACACACACACACACACACACACACACATATATATATATATATATATATATATATATATATATATATATATATATGCAGGTCTTGGCGTATTCAGGTCTTTTCCCGTGTAAGATTGAGAGTATCTTGGCGACGTTTCGACGAAGTCCCACTCGTCATCTTCAGGCTGGGGTCTTCGGCTTCGTGCTTGTGCGAGCAAAGTGATCGGAGCTGCCGTCTCTCTATAAATATTGGTGGGGGTGTGTGGAGTGCTGGCTTAGTTGCTGTAGGTGGGTTGGTTGGCTGTGTTGGAGTTGGTTGGCTGTGTTGGAGTTATTGTTTGTGGATTGTTCAGCTGTTTCATAACATCCTGAGTAGCTGAGGTGCTGGCTGTGTGGTGGGCTGCTCTATTGGCCACCCTCCCCTTGAGCACCTGTAACTGGGCAAAGGGTTGAGTTTCCCAAATCTTCTCTCTTGCCAGATGTGACCAGGTGCGCCACCGTCTCCAACAAATCTAAACGGTGCAGTTCGCCTCAAGAAGTTTTCTTCTACAACATCACCTCCAAGAAGTGTGAGCGCTTCACTGACTACGCGTGCCCCAACATCCTCAACCGCTACTTCACCCTGGAGGATTGCCAGTATTACTGCGCGCATGATGGTGAGCCCGGCTGCTGGGCAAGGAGGAGCCGGTGCTGGGGGCCCTGGGGGAAGGCCCAGTCACCCCTTGGTGCACCCTTAGGCCATGGGGGGGCAGGATGAGGGGTGGCAGGGGTCTTTGGGAGCGGGGTCTGCTGAGCCCCTGCGGGAAAAGGCCCAACCCAGCTTCACACTTCTTTTTGTTCTTTTGGGGTTCCTGCCCTCCTTTGGTGCAGCTGACTTCCAGGTCCAGTAGGGGTGGGGGGAAGCTCCCATCTTTCCTGCCCCCCAACTGTCTCTGATGTGGTTTCTCCAGCACCCTTTGTGGAGCTGCATGAGGGGCACTTCCCACAGTCCGGGGGGGGACTCTCTTTCACAGTCAAGTTGGGCCCCAGCTCAGAAGCCCCCCCGCTTTTCCTCCCCCATGCGGGCTGCCCTCCTGAGGCAGGACTGAATGGGCTGGGGTCCTGTGCAGGCTGGGGGTCAAGCCAGGGGAGCCATCCAGGTCTTCACCGCTCCTTGGCCTGAACCCCGGGCCCTGCAGGCAGGCAGTGCAGACTCGGAGGCTCCGCTCCAGGAGGGGACAGAAGGGCAGGGGCTCCGTCAGACAGGCAGGCGGGCAGGTAAGGCTTGGGGGGGGATGCAGAGAAGATTCCAGAATGAATAGGCAAAATGACAGGTGTGTTTCCTCTGTTCACATCTAAACCTAACCCTGAAACAGGCAGGAGGAGGGAAGCAAGCTGGGAGGGAGGAGGGGGCTGCATCCCCAGTTCTTCCCCATTTGTGCTGCGCCCAGCACCCCCCATTTCCAGGGGTGCCTGCCTGAAAGGAAGCCCCAAATGCCCAAATACAGCCGAGGGAGGAAAGGGGGAGGGCATGGGGGGAGGGAAGACTGAGTCCCCTGATGCTGGGACTGCCCTGGGCCCTGCCTTCTGGGTTCCTTCCTTCCTTCCTTCCTTCCTTCCTTCCTTCCTTCCTTCCTTCCTTCCTTCCTTCCTTCCTTCCTTCCTTCCTTCCTTCATCCCTCCCTCCTTCCTTCCTTCCTTCCTTCCTTCTTCCTTCCTTCCTTCCTTCCTTCCTTCCCTCTTTTCTTCGTCCCTCCCTCCCTCCTTCCTTCCTTCCTTTCTTCCTCCCTCCCTGACACATCTATATAGCTGCCCACCTGATGCCAGCCTCCATCCCCTCCCTCCACCCTGCAGACTACTGCCAGCTGCCTCCTGACCCCGGCCCTTGCCACTTAAAAAAGCCACGTTGGTTTTATGACCCGAAGACCCAAAGCTGCAAGAGCTTCACCTTCGGGGGCTGCCTGGGGAATGTCAACAACTTTAATAACCAAGATTTGTGCAGTCAGAGTTGCCCCCAAAGAGGTAGGTGTGCAGTGCTACAGGGGGGGAGCTGAAGGGGGGGTCCTGTGTGAAGGAGCAGAAGGTCCTGTAACTGCTCCCCTCAATCCCCTTGAGGGCCGTGTGCAAAGAAGAGGAAGGGGGGAAGGATAGCCAGTCCCTCCAGGACTGCCAAAGAAGTCCTCTTTCTGCCCCCCCCCATGGTGCTGGGCCAGCAGGAAAGACCCCCCCTTGGAACACTGTCAGTCATATGTCCCAGAAGACCCCCTGTTCCACCCCCAAGCTAGAAGGGCTCCCCTCACCCCTCAGCCTGCTCCAGAAGAGCAGGTCCGCTTCCCCTCCCCCCGACTAACTGGGGGGGTCATGAAGGTGGAGGCTGGGTACGCCCCCAGAGAGAAGCAGCCCCTCACAGCAGGGGAGGGGCTGTCCAACACCCCTGGAGGGAGGGCTAGGAATCCCCCCCACCTGTCCCCCCCCCATCCCCAGGGAAGACCGTTTCTGAGGCCTCCTTCCCTTTTCCAGGCTCTCCCTAAGGGCTCCGTGGAGGGAAGCTTGGCCTGCTTCTTCGTGCTGAAGAAAGAGGGATGCATCAGGACGAGGCCAGGCGCAGGGAGCCTCCAGGCGCCTTTGGAAGGAAGGGAATTCTGGAATAAATTATTGCCCGGAGGAGACGGTGGTCCCGGATGCTGTGTGTGTCGTAAGAGTGTTGCTCGGGATGCGTTTCCCAGAAGGGTGCAAAGGCTGCCCCCCCTTCACCACCAAAGCACAGAGTTTGCCACACCTGTTGGGCACTTTTCTGGTGCCCCCCCCCGTGCCGCTGTAGCAATGGGTGCCCCTCTGGCTGCTCTCTTCCCTCCTTGCCAGGCAGAGAGGGCAGCGTGTGCCAGCCCTACCCACCCAAGGAGCCAGCACAGACAGGGGGTGGGGGTGGGGGAAGGGCTGGGGGGCTTTTCTCCCCCCACACACAAGAGCCGCCCACCTATTTTGCCCAGTTAATGCTCCCTGTTTCCTACCCAGTGGCTGCATTCTCACACCTCCCTTCAACCGGATCCTGAATCAACCTGTTTTTCTCTGTTCACGCCACACACTGCATCATAAACTAGCCAACGAGCAACACACAAAGCCACAAAAATGAATCCAGATTAAGAGTCTCCAGATTTCACCAGCTGTGGGACGTGCTGGCCGAGGACCCCCCAATAATTAAACGAGGGTGGCAAAAAGGATTAAGAAAGCCGACTCAAAAAAACGTCCTCCGTGGTTCCAGATCAAGGGTCTCCTTCTTGAGCAGCGGGCTGGACTAGAAAACCTCCAAGGTCCCTTCCAGTTCTGTTTGATTTTAACTCAGGGTGGCGAACATAGCTAATACTCCTCACTCCCCTTATCGTCCCCACAACAATAACCCTGTGAGGTGGGAGAGAGAGAGAGTCATCCAGTGCTGACTAGATGACCACACTTGGAATACTGCATCCAGTTTTGGTCAAAATGATGTAAAAAAGATGTTGAGACTCTAGAAAGAGCACAGAGAAGAGCAACAAAGATGATTAGGGGACTGGAGGCTAAAACACATAAGGGATGGTTGCTGGAATTGGGTATGTCTAGTCTAATGAAGAGAAGGACGAGGGGGGACAGGATAGCAGTTTCCAGTATCTCAGGGGCTGCCACAAAGAAGAGGGAGTCAAGCTATTCTCCAAAGCACCAGAAGGCAGGACAAGAAGCAACGGATGGAAACTCATCAAGGAGAGAAGCAACCTAGAATTAAAGAGAAACTTCCTGACAGTTAGAACAATTAACCAGTGGAACTACCTGCCTCCACAAGCAGTGAATGCTCCAACAATGGAAGTTTTTAAGAAGAAACTGGATAGCCATTTGTCTGAAACGGTATAGGGTTACCTGCCTGAGCAGGGGGTTGGACTTGATGACCTCCAAGGTCCCTTCCAACTTTACTACTACTATTACTACTATTATTATTATTATTATCAGGGGCCGTGGTGTGCTTAATAAAATTGGTGGGCTGCATCTGCTCATAAAGAGAGGAACACTGGGTGATCTTGACAGGAACGCTACAGTTGACCAAGTCATGGATAAACACAAATTTTAATTGTTCAGTCTTCCTTGGGAGGAGAGAATTCCACACCAACTGAATTCAGGAACTACAATCCGGATCGTTCTGAGGAGGAGATGAAGCTGAACCTGACAATGAGAAGCAGGAAGGGCTGAGCTCCAGAGAGCCCTGGGCTGGTGAGGGTGGGGGGCTATCACAAGGATTGTTTCTAGATAAAGATGGGATGTGGGATGAGGAGATATTTGTTGTGACCTTGGAGAGGGTGAAGAGTCATGGAATTTTATACCTGTGATGGACATTGGAAGCCACTCCGCACATTTGCTTTCTCTTTATTATATTTTTCTCTTACATTATTTTTCTTTCTATCTCTCTTTTAAGTTTAGTCTGCGTTAAATTTTAATATTTTCAATAAAATGATAGAAACAGTTAAAAAGGAAAAGCTGTCATCAACACCCTTATGATCCCATTTCTTTTCTTTTTGCTTGAGGTTCATCAGAGCATGGGTTGGGGGCACACGGGGGGGAGGGGCCCTATCTATTGAACTGCCAGGCTGCAACCGGGAGTTGTGAAGTGGTCCAGGAGGAAGTGGTCCAGTATCTCACCACACCTGTACCAGATCTTCCATCTTGCTCACCACACATCTGGGCGCCTTCCCATTGCAGTCTCTGATGCCTCCTTGAGAGGTGAGACTGTCCACTGGACCCATGAGTTGGGGGTAGAATGGGGACAAATGGGATATGTGTGAGAGTGGGGGAGTTCAGGAGATGTGATGGATACCGATTCCTTGGAACATCTCTGGATAAGGAGAAGACAGGAGATTGCCCACAAGTGCTCCGGACAGCTGCTCCTCAGAAGGAGATAATAACAGGACAGGGGCTTTCCATGGCTTTGAGCAGATTCGACATCTCGCTCAGATTGTGGCAGGGACTTTTAAAGGACACCCAGTTTGCAAATGTCACTCTCTAATCTCCCACCAGCAATGAGTCCGCGGGTCTGCACAAGGGTCCCCCCACGCCTGGAGGCTGAGAGAGGCTGGTCCTTTTGCCCTAGCCTAGGTGAAGAGAGGAGTTGAGGGGGGATTGGAATTAAAATATGGAATAACAGAGCTGGAAGGGACTTTTAGGTCATCTAGTCCAACCCCCACCCAAGCAGGAGACCCTACACCAGGGCTTTTCAACCTATTCACCCACTGTACCACTTTTAGGATATGGCAACATCCGAGTACCACCAGTCGCCTAGCAAGGTGTCAAAACCTTGATGACCCCCCCAAAAGGAAAAGGTTGATAAAGTACAGGTAGTCCTCACCTTACAACAGTTTGCTTATTGACTGTTTGAAATTACAATGACACTGAAAAAAGCCACAGCCAAGCAAGACACATGCCTGCCCGCCCGGCGGCGCTCTTCCTCCTGTCCGAGGTTTTCATTGTTGTGAGCATTTCTGTTGAGGATTGGCAGCAGGGGTGGGGTGGGGGTGTTTGGTTTTATTCCCCCCGTTTTCTGGGTGGTTGCAGCAGGTTTTGGTTACTTCACATGGCCCTGGGACACTGTGACCATCATAAATATGAATCAGTTGCCAAGTCTCTGAATGTAAATCAGAAGATCCTGGAGATGCTGCAACATCCCTGAGTCCCTTGGGATTGGGCGGCATATAAATTTTAGAAATAAATAAATTCCAGCGGATCGGCGCTTCTTCTGGGCTCAGCAGAAGCTCCAGGATCAGCGTCAAGCTCCAGCTGGAGCCTGGCACTGATCCTGGCACTTCCACTGAGCCCTGACATCTCGAAGAAGTGCTGATCCTGGCACTTCTGCTGACAGTCCTGCAGCTCCAGCCATCTCTCTTTCTCAGGCTTGTACGGTGCTGCCACCGGTTCAGCTCATTCCCCTCCCCTGCTACCACTTTTTTAGGTACCTGGCAAGTCGCGTACCACCTGCCAGGTGCCAATGTGCCACAGGTGGTACCTGTACCACTGGTTGAAAAGCCCTCCCGTAAAGGATTGCTCCCTGCTTCTCACGGGTGTCCACGCCAGAGTCAAAGAGCTGTGACTATGATCAAAGATTTCTCCCCCCAAGATTTCCCCAACAGGCGGGGGTCCTGTGCAGGCTGGGGGTCAAGCCAGGGGAGCCGTCCAGGTCTTTGCTGCTCCTTGGCCTGAACCCCAGGCCCTGCAGGCAGGCAGCACAGACTCGGAGGCTCTGCTCCAGGAGGAGACGGAAGGGCAGGGGCTCCATCAGACAGGACGGCGGGGAGGTCAGGCTTGGGGGGGGATGCAGAGAAGATTCCAGAATGAATAGGCAAAATGACAGATGTGTTGCGTCTGTTCACATCTAAGCCTAACCCTGAAACAGGCAGGAGGAGGGAAGCAACCTGGGAGAAAGGAGGGGGCTGCATCCCCAGTTCTTCCCCATTTGTGCTGCGCCCAGCAGGAGCTCCTGCCTGCGCCCCCCATTTCCAGGGGTGCCTGCCTGAAAGGAAGCCCCAAATGCCCAAATTCAGTCGAGGGAGGAAAGGGGGAGGGCATGGGGGGAGGGAAGGCTGAGTCCCCTGATGCTAGGTCTACCCTGGGCCCAGCCTTCTGGGTTCCTTCCTTCCCTTCCCTTCCCTTCCCCTTCCTTCCTTCCTTCCTTCCTTCCTCCCTCCCTCCCTCCCTCCCTCCCTCCCTCTCTTGCACATCCATATAGCTGCCCACCTTATGCCAACCTCCACCTCCTCCATCCTCCCTGCAGACGTCTGCCACCTGCCCCCCCCCCCGAGGAAGGCTATTGCACTGACAACAACGGTGGTTTTTCAACCCCAAGACCAAAAGCTGCAAGAGTTTAATCTTCAGGGGCTGCAGGGGGAACAACAACAACTTCAAAAGAAAATCATTGTGCGAGTGGACATGCCGCTAGAGAGGTGGGTGTTTGGAGCTGCAGGGTGGGGTGGGGGGTTTCCTGTGCAAAGGAGAAGAGGGTCCTGCAAGTGCTCCCCTCAATCCGCCCCTTGGGGGCTGTGTGCAAAGAAGAGGAAGGGGGAAGGAGAGCCAGAGCCCCCCAGGACTGCCAAAGAAGCCCTCTTCCTCCTCCCCCCTCTAGATTGTGCTGGGGGATCAGGCCGTCTGGCCATATATATCCCAGGACATATATCCCAGAAGACCCCCTGCTCCACCCCCCCAGCTAGAAGGGCTCCCCTCGCCCCAGGGAAGGGGGGGCTAGTCTGCCCCAAAATGAGCGCTATTAGAGTACCTGGTGGGGTCACGAAGGTGGAGGCTGGAGGGGCTGTCCAACACCTCTGGAGGGAGGGCTGGGAATCCCCCCCTGTCCCCCCCCATCCCCAGGGAAGACCGTTTCTGAGGCCTCCTTCCCTTTTCCAGGCTCTCCCTAAGGGCTCCGTGGAGGGAAGCTCGGCCTGCTTCTTTGTGCTGAAGAAAGAGGGATGCATCAGGACGAGGCCAGGCGCAGGGAGCTTCCAGGCGCCTTTGGAAGGAAGGGAATTCTGGAATAAATTATTGCCCGGAGGAGACGGTGGTCCTGGATTCTGTGCCTGTCGCAGGGGTGTTGCTCGGGATGCGATTCCCAGAAGGGCACAAAGGCTGCCCCCCCCCTTCACCACCAAAGCACAGAGTTTGCCACTCCTGTTGGGCACTTTTCTGGTGCCCCCCCCGTGCCTCCGTAGCAATGGGTGCCCCTCTGGCTGCTCTCTTCCCTCCTTGCCAGGCATAGAGGGCAGCATGTGCCAGCCCTACCCACCGAAGCAGCCAGCATAGACAGGGGGTGGGTGTGGGGGAGGACTGGGGGGGCCTCTCTCCCTCCCCACACAGGAGCCACCCAAGTTTCCTGTCCCTGAGCTTGTCTACTCTGCCTGGAAGTTGAGCTGGACGAAAGTGGGCAAGGCGCTCCATCCCAGCCTCCCCTCTGGAAGTCAGGAGGAGTTGAGGGTCAGCGATCTGCTCCCCAGAGCCCCTGTCCTCCTGTGGGTACAAGCCCTGGCATCGGAGGAGCTGGCGTCTTTCTCTCCTGGGCTCTGACTGGGAGGGACTCAGATTGGTGAGCAGAACCTGCTTCACCAAGGATGCCAGCAAGAACTGGACACTGCCCATCAACCGGAGCTGCCCTGGGTGGAAGGGGAGGCATTTCTCCAGATTGTTTGGAACGCAGGAGACCTCACCCACCCACCACCATCTTTGAGATACCTGCATGAGGAGGTGGCATTTTGGGATCCATGTTCACTTAGATCTCATCAGACTCAAAAAATAAATCCTTGTGTCATGGCTGCCCTTGAGGATGCCCCACATGCAGACATTCCTGGTCATGAAATTGCAAAAACTACACTGGACCATGGAAACAGGCTGCGGTGTCTACATCCCACCCATTGTACAAATTGTGCTCTGTTCCAGCTCAGGGTCCATGGTGTGCTTAATAAAATTAGTGGGCTGCATCTGCTCATAAACTGGGAACTCTGGGTGATCTTGATGGCCCTCTGGATTCCCAGCCCAGCCCTCCAGGGGGAAGGAAACGGGGGATCGGAGGCACCATGCTCTTTGCCCGGAGAGGAGTGGGAGGTGGCTCAGTTGCCCAGCCAGTGCCATGAGGTCCGGTCGCAGCCTCCTCCTCCTCCTCTTCCTCTTCTGGGGTGACTTTGACCTCTGCAGCCCTAGGCTTTTACTGAAGGACTCCTGTGAGTGTGGAGGGGCAGAGGGTGGGTGGGTGGTGGGATGCCTCAGCCAGAGGGGTCTTTGGACCTCGAAGGTCCCCTTCCCATCTGAACCTCCTGCACCTGGAGCCTCAGGGATGCGCCCCGGATGCCCAAGAGAACCTCCCCCCCATTTTGCATGGCTGTGCAACCCCCAGATTTATTTATTTATTTATTTATTTATTTATTTATTTATTTATGAGACTTATATACCGCTTTAAGTGCAAGCACTCTCTAAGCGGTGTACACCAGTAAGCAATGTATGTATGTATATATATATATATATATATATATATATATATATATATATATATATATATATATATATATATTTACATTCCCCCAACAATCTGGGTCCTCATTTTACCTACCCCGGAAGGATGGAAGGCTGAGTCAACCTTGAGCCGGTGAGATTTGAACCACTGACCTGCTGAACACAGTCAGCTAAAGTGGCCTGCAGTACTGCACTCTAACTGCTGCGCCACCTCGGCTCTTTTACTGAATACTTTTACTGAACAGATACTCTGTTCTCTGGAAATAGCGGTCCTCATTCCTTTGCAAAGCCATAGATGGGATGATAATAGTACTAATAATATAATCAGTGTTATTAATAGTAATAGCATAATAACATTAACACCCAGGAACAGAACAGGCAATTACTGGTCTTGATACAAATATTGGAGTTTAGACTCTGGGAGGTCATCTAGTCCACCCTCTGCTTAGGGCAGGAAGCTCCCTGACAGATCACACCCCCCCAGCTCTGTTCAGACCCTCCCATAAAGGAGAGTTCCCTACTTCTCACGGGTGTCCACGCCAGAGTCAAACAGTTGTGTCTATGCTCAAAGATTTCCCCAAATTAATCGCTGAAACCTTGTTCGTTATTCTGTCCCTGTTCTTTCCCTTCCCTTCCCTTCCCAAGGCTAAGCCCACCTCCCCACAATTGTTTGTTTGAATGCTGGTCCTGGCCGTCAATTTCCTCCCTCAAATTCAGGACACAGAATTGAGCGCAACGTCCTAGGTGGGAACTGAGTAGCAGCACAGAAGGCCGGGAATCGTGGCTTCTTTTCAGCCAGAGTCTCTACTTCTCCAGGGGTTTGGCGGGTGGTGTCACACCGCTGGCTCATGTTTAGCATCCCCCCCATGCGATGCTCCTTGGGAGGAGCTCCCCCCTCCTGTCCATGAGGTCAGTTTTTTTCTTCATTTAAGACTTTGCTTCTTCGTTTCACCTGACAGCCCCCTTTCCCTCCAGCATTTTCCCGCACTGATGCTGACTGCCAGCAGTTGGGCAGTTCGATCCTGACTGGCTCAAGGTCAATTCAGCTTTCCAGCCTTCCGAGGACCCAGATTATAGGGGGCAAGAGGCCGACTCTGTGCACCGCTTAGAGAGGACTGCAAAGGGGAGGGTCTCCAACATAGGCAACTTTAAGCTGTGTGGACTTCCACTCCCAGAATTCCCCAGCCTGCATTCAGGGGCTGCTCTATACCCGCCTGCCTCCCCCTGAGCACCTACAACTGGGCAAAGGGTTGAGTTTCCCAATCCTCTTCTCTCTTGCCAGTTGAGGGCAACTGTGTCATCTCCCCCAACCCTTACGAGCGATGCGGGAAGCCTGTAGATCGTTTTTTCTACAACATCAGGTCCAGGAATTGCGTGCGTTTCGTTGACTATGGGTGCCCCATGAAGGTCAACCGCTACAACACCCTGGAGGAATGCCAGCACTACTGCGCACCAAAGAGTGAGTCCAGCTGCTGGGCAGAGAGGAGTCAGGGCTCAGGCCCCGTAGAGAAGGCCCGGTCTCCCCTTGGCGCTCCATTGGGTCATGGGGGAAGGCTGAGGAGTGGCGGGTCTTCAGGAGGGAGGGTCTGCTGAGCCCCTGCGGGAAAAGGCCCAACCCAGCTTCACACCTCTTCTTGTTCATTTGGGATGCTTTCCCCGGTTCTCCATTGGTCCAGCTGACCTCAGGGTGCAATACGGGGTGGGGGGAGGCCCCCCTCTTTCCTGCCCACCTGTCTCTGATGGGTTTTCTCTAGCACCTTTTATGGGGCTGCATGAGGGGAGCTTCCCAGAGTCCAGGGGGGGGATTCTCTTTTGCAGTCAAGCTGGGCCCCAGATGAGAAGGCCCCCTGCTTTTCCTCACCCATCAGGGCTGCCCTCCTGAGGTCGGGCTGAATGGACAGGGGTCCTGTACAGGCATTCCCAGTTCTGCTCCCTTTGTGCTGTGCCCAGCAGGAGCTATTGCCTGCACACCCCACTTCCAGGGGGTCCTGCCTGAAAAGAAGTCCAAAATGCCCAAATCCAGCCGAGGGAGGAAAGGGGGAGGGCATGGGGGGAAGGAAGGCTGAGTGCCCTGATGGGGGGACTGCCTTGGGCCCAGCCTTCTGGGTCCTTTCCTTCCTTCCTTCCTTCCTTCCTTCCTTCCTTCCTTCCTTCCTTCCTTCCTTCCTTCCTTCCTTCCTTCCTTCCTTCCTTCCTTCCTTCCTTCCTTGCACATCCATATAGCTGTCCACCTTATGCCAACCTCTATCCCCCCCCCCATCCACCCTGTAGACATCTGCCACCTGCCTCATGACCGCAGCTCTTGCAATTTCAACCAACAACGGTGGTTTTATGACCCGAACACCCAAAGCTGCAAGATTTTCATCTTCGGACGCTGCAGGGGGAATGCCAACAACTTCCTGAGTTCTTTGGCGTGCGAGATGACATGCCACTGGAGAGGTGGGTGTGCATTGCTGCGGGGGTGGGCAGTGGTGGCTGAAGGGTGGGTCAGAATGTTAGACACAAAAATAGTCACAAATTGAAATCCACTCTGAGTTACAAATAGAAAAGAAGTTTATTAGACTTCACACCCAAGTCTAAAAAAAATAACGGTTTGCAAAGCGTGGTGGATTCAGGAAGGCAATGCAATGGAGCCAAGCACTGAACCACACCCCAAATTCCAAAATCACATATTATTATACATCCTATCGTGACGCCCCATTCCCTCCCCCATGGCCCCATTGGCTTAGGCTTTGGCGGTTACAATCTATCAGAAGCGCCTAAACAGAATACATTATACTAATTAGATCCCTCCCCTACTATCCTATATCAATCCTAGAGGAGAGATGTCTCCCATCTTCTACACCTGTTAGATCCAGTAGGGGTACCAGGCACCAAAAGGTACTTAAAAACAATTCCTAGATGGTGACTCAACTGGGCCCACAGTAACTCCTGTTCTCCCCCCTTCCTCCACCTGAGGCTTGTATGTTCCCTATATACTCAAAGCATCTACTCAGGCAATTGATTATACAATGATATTTATAAAATATAAAATATGATTACATGATAATACTAAAAGCATATATATTTTTATTTTTAAATTTCCTCCACAAGAAGGAGCAGAAGGTCCAGCGACTGCTCCCCTCAATCTGCAACTTGAGGGCCATGTGCAAAGAAGAGGAAGGGGGGAGGAGAGCCAGCCCCCCCAAGCAGCACAGCAAAAGAAGCCACTCTTCCTGCACCCCCCCCCCAAGATAGTGCTGGGGGGTCTGGCCCTCTGGCCAAGAGGGGAAAGGGGACCCTGGACCCCCTTGGAATGCTGTCAGTCATATATCCCAGAAGACCCCCTGCTCCACCCCCAAGCTAGGTGGGTTCCCGTCGCTCCTAAACCTATTCCAGAAGAGGAGTCAGCTTCCCCCAGACTAGCTGGGGGGGGGGTCACGATGGTGGAGGATGGGTGTCTCCCCCTCCAGAGAAGCAGCCCCTCACAGCGGGGACGGGTGGCTCTCTGCCTCTCCGACAGGCCAGCCTAGCAATAAGGGGGAGGGCGCTCTCCAACACCCCTGGAGGGAGGGCCAGGGAGGGAGGAAGGAAGGAAGGAAGGAAGGAAGGAAGGAAGGAAGGAAGGAAGGAAGGAAGGAAGGAAGGAAGGAAGGAAGGAGAGGGAAGGGAAGGGAAGGGAAGGGAAGGGAAGGGAAGGGAAGGGAAGGGAAGGGAAGGGAAGGGAAGGGAAGGAAGGAACCCAGAAGGCTGAGCTCGGGGCAGTCCCAGCATCAAGGGACTCAGCCTTCCCTCCCCCCATGCCCTCCCCCTTTCCTCCCTCAGCTGTATTTGGGCATTTGGGGCTTCCTTTCAGGCAGGCACCCCTGGAAATGGGGGCGCAGGCAGGAGCTCCTGCTGGGCGTAGCACAAATGGGGAAGAACTGGGGATGCAGCCCCCTCCTCCCTCCCAGGTTGCTTCCCTCCTCCTGCCTGTTTCAGGGTTAGGCATAGATGTGACCAGACGCAACACATCTGTCATTTTGCCTATTCATTCCGGAATCTTCTCTGCATCCCCCCCAAGCCTGACCTGCCCGCCTGCCTGTCTGACGGAGCCCCTGCCCTTCCGTCCCCTCCTGGAGCGGAGCCTCCGAGTCTTTGCTGCCTGCCTGCAGGGTCCGGGGTTCAGGTCAAGGAGCAGCGAAGACCTCGATGCCCCCTGGCTTGACCCCCAGCCTGTACAGGACCCCCGCCCATTCAGCCCTGCCTCAGGAGGGCAGCCCTGATAGCGGAGGAAAAGTGGGGGGCTTCTGAGCTGCGGCCCAGCTTGACTGCGAAAGAGAACACCCCCCCTGCTTTGGCCAATGCTGACCGAGTCTGCTTTCCTTCCTCTTCAGGTCTCCCCACATACGGCCAGTGCCCACCTACAACTACAGCTCTTCACCCCGTACCATACTGCATGCAGGGTAGACCCTGCCCAGGGGATGAAAAATGCTGCCAAGTGGGGAATGTGAGGAAATGCACCCTTCCTAAAGGAGGTGGGTGAGCCCCTCCCCAATTTGGGGCAAGATGGATGGAGGGTTGGGGGGGACAGGTTCGGAAGTGGAAGGTGGAGAGTCCAGGCGGACAGCCCAGTTCACCTCTTGTCCCAGGATCCGATTCCGCTCTTGCCAGGGCTCTCCTTCTTGGGAAAGGGCAGAATGCCACCCTCCCGGTGCTGCGGTGCCCTTCCGAACAATCCCACAGATAGGATTGTAGCACACATTCTTTGTGCCGCGTCTACTAGTGGTAATCGGCTGGGATGGCAGATCTGCCCAGCAGTGGGCAACCTGAGGGACACGTTCGGACGCAACTGCAGAAGATGCCAGGAGACCTTCTTGCCCACTCTCTGCCCACACTTTCTCTTCCAGTGCATCAAGGTTACTGCCCCGGGCGAGAAGACCAGGCCGTCTACAAGAATCCCTGTGCTGGAGACCATCAGTGCGGGTGGCATGAGAAATGCTGCAGGACGGGTGGGTGGCCACAGGAAGTGTGTCCAGGCTGTGCCAGGTAGAGTCTCTGCCGGACACGGGTTCCCTCTTACCTGGAGGGTCTCAGGTGGACGCCTCATGGTATGTGAACTCTGAAAAAATGAGAGTTCTCCATCTTTAGGGGGTGCCATCATCACCCCTTGGGGCATTCAAAGAAGACAGACTTGACCACTGCTGAAATAGCTGCCAAACGGAGAGAGGCCATCCAAGATCCTTCCTGGTAACCTTCTGGTAGGGTGGATGTGTGACCCATGAAGCCCCCCCCCCAGGCTTAGTTGCTATGGAAACCCCTGAGCTCACCTGGAAATGAGGCTGGAGGCTCTGGAGGATCCACTTTCCTCTTTAATTTGGTTCAAGGAGAGGCCCTACCGAGTCAGTTGGTGAGGGAAGAAAAGTAGACACGGAATCCTTGGAAGCAACCCAAATGGGTATCCAAGGGAGCCGTGCTTCTGATGGGTTGGGTGTCTGAGTGCAACCCCTTCCCCTTTGCTGACCCCCAATCCTAGCCCCTGTTGCTCCAGGATGCTTAATCCATTCCCTCCCATCTGGCTACCATGGGGCCCTTGGTGCTCTCAGAGCTTGATGGTTTTGACCCTCACCAGACATGACCTCCCCATCACAAGACTCATCACAAGACCCTTACCTTATGTAACCCACACCTGACCCATCACAAGACCCTCACCTTATGTGACCCACACCTGACCCAACACAAGACCCATCACAAGACCCTTACCTTATGTGACCTACACCAGCCCCCTCACAAGATCCATCACAAGACCTTCACCTGACATGACCCACACCTGACCCTTCACAAGACCCATCACAGGACCCTCATCTGACGTGACCCTCCCATCCCAAGACCTCTTCACCATGCCTGAAGCCCTCATAAGCAGAAGAACACCAACACTGATTCCATTGAGAATGTTACCTAGCCTGGTAATGAAACATCTGGAAACCGACCCACCAGCTTGGAGAAAGAACCTCCACCCTCATCTTGGTGGTTTTCTCACAGATGTTTCATTATCAGGCTAGGTAACATCATCAGTGCCTGCAAGAAAACCACCAGAGCCCCACCATTCCACTCTAAGCCACAAATATTCCCTTCTGTTGGCTTCCAGTTACGGATGGCCTTTGCCCCAAGAAGCGTATTCCATTGGTCCCCACCATCTGCCCAAACCAGTGCAATGATGACCTCTCCTGCTCCTCTGGGATGAAGTGCTGCTTTGACAAGTGTGGCCTGAACTGTGTGCCCCCTGAGAGACTCCACCAACACCAGGACCAGAAACAGAAACAGAAACAGGACCAGAACCAGGATCAGAAGAAAGGTGAGGAAGAACCCCACAAGGCAACCAGGGGATCATTTGCAGTCCAACAGCTTCTCCAGCCTATCCACACGTTCACCCCTGGGTGGCCACCTTCTTCTCTCCATCCACTCCTCTAGCCTGTCCACCCACTCAGCTCTGGGTGGCCACCTCCCTCTCTCCATCCGCTCTTCACCTCTTGTTCCTGAATCAGGCTTTGAGCACCCTTGTAGTTGTGGTGTTGTGGTCATTGGCCATCCTTTCCTTGATCCATTCCAAGGACAACTGCCAGATGAGCTCCATTGGTCATTGCTTTGGGGAATAGTTTGACAGCCCCCTCCCCTTGTCTCTTTAGGAATCCCTCAAATATTGGATGGCTGCTATCCTGTCCCCCCTCATCCTTCTCTTCATTAAACTAGACCAGGGGTAGGCAACCTTGGCTCTTTTATGACTCATGGACTTCAACTCCCAGAATTCTGTGTTAGCCGCCAGTCCCCTGATCATCTCTGTTGCTCTTCTCTGCACAGGAGACAAGAAGGGTTCCCAGGAGTCCAAGGGGATGCACTGCCGCACAGACCAAGATTGTCCGCAACGGAAGAAGTGCTGCAATGGACTCTGCCAGCAGGAATGCCAGCCACAAAGTAGGTCCCGGCTGATGCAGGGTAGGAGAGCGCCAAGGGGGGGCTGGAAGACCAGAAGGGACAACTCACTGCAGCCAACTCACCATGGTGAACTTCATAACTTATAAGAACTGCTTTATAAAGCCTTAGTAAGACCTCACTTAGAACCCTGAACCCAGTTTTAGTCACCACATCACAAAAAAGATGTTGAGAGTTTGGAAAAAATTCAGAGAAGAGCAACTAAGATGATCCAAGGCCTGGAGACTAAAACATAGGAAGAACGGCTGCAGGACTTGGCTGCAGGGTTTGGCTAGTCTACAGAAAAGAAGAAATAGGGGTGACATAATAGCAGTATTCTAGTATTTGAGGACCTGCCACAAAGAAGAGGAGGGGGTCACATTATTCTCCAAAGCACCAGAGGGCAGGACAAGAAACAACGGTTGGAAGCTAATCAAGGAGAGAAGCAACCTGGAATTAAGGAGAAACTTCCTGACAGGGAGGATAATAAACCAGGGGAACAGCTGGCTTTCAGAAACCATGGAGATTTTTAAGAAGAGACTGGACAGCCACCTGTCTCAAATTGTACAGGGTCTCCGGCTTCAGCCTGGGGGTTAGACTAGATGACCTCCAGTGTCCCTTCCAGCTCTATTCTGATTGGACTGGTTAACTCACCACGGCCAATTTGCCCTGGTTAACTCACCATGGGACACCTCGTTATGGGGCAATTCAACGACTCTGTTTAATTATTTAAAATAGTTTAAAAAATGTTTTAATTTTTGTCATTCAAATTTTATTGTGTCCCTCCTTTGGCATCCTTTCTTCAGTGATTCTGTTCCACTATTTCTTCGATATTAGTGTAAGCCTTGTCCAGTGGAGAGTTGAGCGTGGCCAGGTGTTAGGACCACTGGTGCCTCCGCCCTCCCCAGAAGGCAGACCCTGCCCCTCCCCTGCTTGAGCGGCTGTTTGCAAAAGCTGCCTCTAAACATCAACAGGTGTCAAGTTCTCCCTGTGTGCAAATGCGCCCCCATGTGGTGTGACGAAGGATAATAGTGTTGGGGAAAATGTCTGCGGAGACTTTGAGTCAATCTTTAACTCTGAACAAACCCCCAAACACAGACAGGGCTGGTGGGAGCCCCCCTGCTCCACCACAGCAGAGCTCTGGAAGTGCCAGCCATTTTGCACCCAGGATCCGCCACTCACTCCTGGCGTGCTGGGCATAAAAAAGGGCCAGAGTAAAAGAGAGCAAGAAAGGCATTTCAGCATGATCAGCCAAGCAGGAGCTGGGAGAGGGAAGAATGGACTCCACCTGTAGGATGCTAAGAAAAAGACGCAGGCATGTCTTGAGCAGAGGTTTGAAGCTGCAGGACACAGCTTGGCAAACTCTGTTTATTGCTTCTTATATACTTTTTACATACATAGGCTTTACCATTAACTGCTGACATTTTACATTCATAAGTTTAACCTTTAGCTGTTGACATAAAGTAATTGAAAAATCCTTCATATAAGCAACTATTTTCTAGTAACACATTACATGGTCAGAGATCAGGTAAAGACAAATACAGGTAGACGAAAGACAGGAAGAGATAAGGACAGGAAGAGATAAGGGGGAACTTAAAGCATATTATTTATTTAGGTAGGTAAGGTATTAAGTCAAAAGGGAGTGATCTTTTGGCTGCTTCCTTGGGACAAAGGGTATCAAAAGGTTATGAGGTTTGTGGGGGGGGGAAGCATGGCAGTTTGCTGCGCGTGCAAATTCCCCCACATCTCACTCTTCTCTATTTTATTAATGAGGACATTATTCTAAGCTGGAGTAGTTAATGGGTCTTAGTCAGGGGACATATAACTTTGCATTTGTTTATACAAAACATAACTTGTTCCTGAGGTAAGTTAATGGTAGTTTAGTGTGGACAATTGAAAGTAGAGGGAAAAAAAGACATTGAATAACTATATATGTGCATAATTAAAAGATATCTCTTGAAAGGAGGTACAATTTAAAATTCCTTGACTGACATGTATGCAATGAAGTTTTTTAGACGAAGTAGTACAATTGACAATTTTTGCACAAGTAAGATTTGTAGGAACAGCTACAATTGGTGTATGTAAAACAATAGCATCAAGGGTTAACATGTAAGAGGCATGACCCTAGCTTGACATAGTTGCATAATGAAATTCATTGTCTGATAAAAAATTGCTTAAACCAGTATAATTTTTTTAAAAAAACTGAAGCTGGAACACACAAAGGTATAAAACAGGTAGAGAGTAAATTTTCCATATCATGTGATTCAGAAATACAAAGGTCTGTCACTTGTGTGATATTAGCTAATTGCACCCAAATATTATATTTCATCCGTGATTCTAAAGGATGAGTGGGAGAGCTTGAGCCCCCACACAGCAATTAAGAAGGAAAGAGATGCAAAGAATGACTAAGGAATTTGCAGTCAAAACCACAAATATGGCAGCGCATAAATTCTCTGGTGTAAGTTCTTTTCCCTGTTGCCACAGAACCATCTATGCTTTGGAGGTCAGGTTTTTCACATGACCCCAGGTTGTTGGTCAACTGTGATGGCGAGAGCGAAAGGGACGTTGTGCTGTCTGAAGAGTCACCTGCTTCATTTCCAGTATTGGGTTCTGGACTTAATGCCATGACATCTTTGGCTGGTTGCACACACTGGGCTGGAATCCAGAGAGGGCCTGTAGGAGCAAGCACAGAGCATAGCCTCGCCCCCAAGTTAGTAAGGGAATTGGATCTAACCAGGTTTTATCAGGCAATTGCCGATAATATACCAATGGATTAGGAAGCACAGCTTTCTGCTGAAAGTGACGCTGGTAGGCAGTAGTATTTTGAAAAGAAATATTTAGCTGGTTTAAAGTTATTAAGACTTTATTGACTTGATGCAAATTAGGTACCCTGGATCCCTCCTTTTTTAATTGTTTATGAAGGCAGTCCTTAAAAGACCGATATATATGTGAGAAACAAAGGATAGCTGCTGTAAAGTTAAAAACAAAACCATAAGATTGGGGTCGATCCTGGGCATGATGTAAGTACCTGTAAGATTAAAAATAAGTTGGCACACATAATGAGAGTAAGAGATTAAGTTAAAAGTCTGTTGAGAAAAGGTGTGGAAAGCTAAAATAGCAACAGAAGAGATAAGTTATTCTGAAAATAAAATTGAAAATCAAATTTTGGGATAGGAATAACAATATTAATTAAATCAGTCCCATTTCAAGGACAAGCTTGATTGTATCCTAAGGTTATTTCAGCAACAGCCTGGATAAAAGATAAAACATTTTGAGATGGGATAAGTAAAGCCATTCAATACAATATACTTTTTGCGCTTCTAACACAGCTAATACTCCTGTAAGTATCTTACTAGTAAGAAATATCAAAAGTGTTAAGTGACAATTCCTGTGTGAAATTCTGTCCACAAATTGAGTACTCAAGTACTTAATTTGCTCAACTGTGGTAAATGCTGGAACTACAAATGAGATCTCCAGGTTGTTTTCCTTTGGTCAATAAGTTAAATTCCAAGTTAATCAAAGATGGAAACAAATTTCTATTAAGTAGATTAAACATTTACAAAACTTAAGTAAAACAATTCAGAGTTATTTCTTTTGGTTGATAGATAAAGATTTTGCCAGCTGAAACTGCAAGAGCGGGGATTAAATTTCATCTCCATTCACAAACTGGAATTCTAAGCAGAGAGGAAAAAAAGTTTAAAACAAACAGTTTCTCCCCCCCTCTTCTTTCTGTCTCTCTTGCTCTTAAAGCAACACAGCCAGTTGAAAAAAAAAAGAGACAGGAAAAGTTTTTGTTACAAACTTCTCACCACTAAAAATTAGTTTTCTCTCCTTGACATGCATTTTCCATAAATTCTCTCACACATTCTCCATGGGACTCTTCTCATGCAAACACTTACTATTACTTTTCAATTACAACAATAAAATCTGCAGTTTTTTATTTCTTTTAAAGCCTGGGAGAGAGTGGGTGGGGGTGGGGTTTGAGGGCTAACACACACACTTAGGTATCAACAAATTAATTCCACATACAAATATTTCATTTCATACTTTCTCCAGGCAAACTATTTATTTTTAAATAAGGCCTTTTCGTATTGTTGTTATCAGAGAGGGTTTGACCCTCTTCCAAGTCTTGGAAATAACACAGAACAACACAGACAAATATACACAAATACCAATAACACAACATTGATTTAGACATATGGCTTGTCCTGCAAAAAGCGACAAAAATCATGAGATGATTCCAACCAAACATGTGGTTGTTTTTTTTTTATAGGGCCCTTTTAATCATCTCCTATTTTTCTCACCATTCCAAGCCCAAGCATAATGTTCTGGGTGGCCACACACACATATACACATATACACATATACACACATATACATAAACAAAAGACACATCAATTTGGGGTTTGAGGCTAAAACAGGCCTCCCCTTTTAATTAAAAAGGAGGAGAATATTTATGGTTACTTCCAACTCATCCCAGCAATTTCAAAAGACATTGGGGAAAGACTAAAAGGAATATTGAAGGTGTGAAGGGTGAGGGAAAAGTAGTAGCTCCTCTCCTCACCTCTTGACAAAAGGGAATTGAATAGAGCCAGATTAAAAGGGGAAAAAAGAAAAAAAACTTGCTTTCAGTTCTTTGAATTTTCTTTTCTTTTTCTTCTGTGGCTTTAGTTGTTATCAGATAAACTAGCCAGCCGGAGGTTTACAAAATTTTTCAGTGTTGTCTTGTTAAAGATTATTTATACTTCTACACATCAACACAAAGCACCATCTGACAGGGTTAAACTTAACAGCTACTTGAAGTTTCAAAACATCCCAATTGTTCAAAACACATTGCAGAGGAGTACATTTTAATTTAATTTGTTTCTTTAAATTCCTCTGACGATTCCCCATATATATATTTTCTACTTCAAGATTGTTCCTCTAATATTTTCCTTATGGGGGTGTATGGTGGCTGTAAGGAGGCAAAAGAATTAGCCTCTTCAGAAAGAGCTGAAAATCCAATTAAAGATGCTTTCAGAGGCACAGTTTTTACTTTGATCCTAATCAGGTGTGGGGCTTGTAGTTAATTGTTACCCTGCTGAAGCATCTGAGCCAAATTTTTCCACTGCTTGATGGCATTGATGCCATTGATGTAATACCTGTACTGGAGCCCAAGATTCAAGATGTAAAGTATGCCCTATTTTTTTCCCAATCTTGTAACCTAAGTGTCCAGCACTTAGGATATCAAGGGGAATGTTTCCCTACCTCACCCATCAGCTTCCTTTTGTCTGCATCAGGCATTTTCATGCCTGATGTGTGTAACAGGAATCTGAGTTCCTTTGCTGGTGCTGAGATAGATTGCAAGCCTTACTTACCACTGAGGGGTCCCATAGGACGAAAGTGCACTTAGGGGTCTATTCCAGACGCTGGTAAGTAAGTTGGTTGTTGCTCCCTCAGAAGGGGGGGCTGTCCCAGTTGCTCCATGGGGGGGCTGTCCCTGTTCGGGCGCCAGATGTAGGATGCTAAGAAAAAGACACAGGCATGTCTTGAGCAGAGGTTTGAAGCTGCAGGACACAGCTTGGCAAACTCTGTTTATTGCTTCTTATATACTTTTTACATACATAGGCTTTACCATTAACTGCTGACATTTTACATTCATAAGTTTAACCTTTAGCTGTTGACATAAAGTAATTGAAAAATTATTTCATATAAGCAACTATTTTCTAGTAACACATTACATGGTCAGAGATCAGGTAAAGACAAATACAGGTAGATGAAAGACAGGAAGAGATAAGGACAGGAAGAGATAAGGGGGAACTTAAAGCATATTATTTATTTAGGTAGGTAATGTATTAAGTCAAAAGGGGGTGATCTTTTGGCTGCTTCCTTGGGACAAAGGGTATCAAAAGATTATGAGGTTTGTGGGGGGGGGGAAGCATGGCAGTTTGCTGCGTGTGCAAATTCCCCCACATCCACCGTCCAATCTGAGCTGACCAAAATGTGCAAGAAGCAAGATAAAAATACCCGCGGTTCCCGAGCTGGCCGAGATGAAGCTGGAAGGCAGCAGATCTGAAAAAGCTGCCCGCCAGGCTTCTCCTGGGCTTCTGAAAGTAAAGACAGAGGTGCCCACAGCCACCAATTGGCAAAAGGGCATCCCAGGGTGGGTGAGTGACGGATCCGTCCCAGAATCGCTGAGTTCTCCTGCCCCCCCCCCCGCCCACTTGAGAAATTGGGCATCCAGGTGCAAGCTTTTAAGTCTTGGCCATCTCCTCTCTCTCTCAGATATCTGCCATCTGCCCTCAGACACAGGGCCCTGCAGGGCGCTTACGCGTCGCTGGTTCTACGACAAGCACTCTGGGAGGTGCAGAGAGTTCATCTATGGAGGCTGCCAGGGGAATGCAAACAATTTTGAGGATGTTGAAGAATGCGAGCGCCGATGTGGCCCTCCAGGTGAGACCAAGTCAGAGGAGGGTCTGAGGGAGGAGGGAGGAGCATTGGCTGTGGGCCAGTCTAGTGAGGCTATCTTGGGGAAAGAAAGAAAGAAGGAAAGAAGGAAAGAAAGAAAGAAAGAAAGAAAGAAAGAAAGAAAGAAAGAAAGAAAGAAAGAGGGAAGGAGGAAGGGAGGGAAGGGAAGGGAGGAAAGAAAGAAAGAAAGAAAGAAAGAAAGAAAGAAAGAAAGAGAAAGGAAGGAAGGAAGGAAGAAAAGAAAGAAAGGGGGAGGGAGGGAGGGAGGGAGGGAGGGAAGAGGGAGGGAATGGAAGGAGGAAGAAAGAAACAGAAAGAAAAAAGAAAGAAAGAAAGAAAGAAAGAAAGAAGGAAGGAAAGAAAGAAGTAAAGGAGAAAGAAAGAAAGAAAGAAAGAAAGAAAGAAAGAAAGAAAGAAAGAAAGAAAGAAAGAAAGAAAGTGTGGTGGTCTCCCATGGAGAATGAGACACGCAGACAGGTATCTCGGGATGAGAGCCCAGAGCTGACTCCAGCACCCTCTTTTATTGTTACTAAGGTTTTTACATCACACAGCATAATCAAAAGACGTATATAGGGGTTGTTACAATGTATCAAATAACAGACACTCTCCAGATACAAGGCTACTGCAGGTGTTCTTATCAGAGTCTGTCCAAAAGGCTGATGAATGTATCCTGTGTCTGAAACAGTTATCTCAGGCCCTTGTGGGAGATGCCCATGGATAGATGCCCATGGACATTTGTGCAATTAGTCCCACAGAAAGAAAGAAAGAAAGAAAGAAAGAAAGAAAGAAAGAAAGAAAGAAAGAAAGAAAGAAAGAAAGAAAGAAAGAAAGAAAGGGGGAGGGAGGGAGGGAAGAGGGAGGGGAGGGAGGGAGGGAGGGAGGAAGAAAGAAAGAAAGAAAGAAAGAAAGAAAGAAAGAAAGAAAGAAAGAAAGAAAGAAAGAAAGAAAGAAAGAAATGGAGAGGGAGGGAGGGAGGGAGAGAAAGGGTTGAGAAAGAAGAAATGGTGAAGGAAAAAGAGGAAAAGAATGGTTGGTCTGTCGTAGACTTCAATTCAGGAGATGATACTTCAAACTGAGAGGGACAGATGGACAAGTCCAGTGGTCAGGAGAGGAGGGAGGGAGGAGTGGAGTGGACCCCCTTCCATTTTTCTAACTCATTTTGAGTTTATTTATTCAATTCTCTATCTAGCGATAGAATTCTACTTAGCGTCTATCTATGAGAATATATTAAATTTTTTCCTGGAAAAAATCTAACAAAAGCTTTTTGAGTGAGCCTACTAACAGAGGCCCTGCTGAATTCATGGATGGTTTTCAATGAGGACAGAACGGCTCCCACTTTATTGATACGAATCTCATCTTCTCTCCCCCTCCCTCCTCAAAATCTTGCAGATAACAAGCCTGGCACATGCCCCATCGTAGTTCAAGGCGAGGAGGTTGTTTGCGGCAAATTGTGCTCCAGCGATGCCAGCTGCCCGGGCCCTCAGCGCTGCTGCCCCACTTCCTGTGGGAAGAAATGTGAAATCCCGCAACAACGTCAGTCTGGTTCCTGGATGGGGAAGGGAGTTTGGGGGGGGGGCAGTCAGGAACAGAGAGGGGAGGGTGCCTGCTGAGCCTGGTATCAAGGAAGGCAGAGTCATGCCTGTTTTTTTGCCCACCGTGAAACACCACTGGAGCCCAGAGAGACGCTGTTCGGTGGCAGTTCATCCTCCGAGGCCAGCAAGACTTGAACTTTCCAAGGAAGCTTTGCAGACAGAGCTCAGCCCAGCTCGAGGGAGCCTTCCCAGAGGCTGGAGGAGGGGAGGAGGCGGCATGCAAGAGGAAGGCTGTTTGGTGCCAGCCTGCACTGAGATGGCCTCCATTGGGTAGATCAACGCGACCAAAGGCTTCTTTGCCAGCAGAGCACTTGGTGGGCACCAGAGAGGGCTGGGGGGTTTTCCCTGCAGGGCCAAACCTGATGCCCCCTGAGCAGAGAAGGCTTTTCAGGGCTGCCCAGCTGCGTGCCATGCGGCAAAAGTCCTCCAACTCTTTGGCGGGTATAAATGAGGCTGGTGGGCTTTTGTTGTGGGGCTTGTTTGCAAAATAACCCTCCTACTTATTGCCACAGATGCCCCCTGCCAGGTGGATGTGAGGTCCTGAAACATTTGGAGCCAGCCTCTTCTTCCCCTAGGGCAGAGGGCCCCGACCCCCAATCCCCGGCCCACTGGAGGACCTTGAGCCTTTTGGAAGCTGGCCGTGGAAGTGATGGGCAGATGTGTTTGCCTGCTGCACACGCGGAACCATCCTCTCTGTCCCCCCCAGCCGGTCTGCAAAGCTGAAAATGTTGGGGAACTCTGTAGCAAGGTCTGTGAACCCCCTCTCTGAAAGCCCTCTTCTCTCCCGTGTCCCCCTCTTCTGCCTAGATCTCCCAGGATACTGTCCACTGCTGATTCTCCCACCCAGAAGGGGCGACGTTTGCTTCCCAAACTGCACCAGTGACTGGGACTGCAACCGCATGGTGAATCTTCCTTGGAAGAAGTGCTGCAGCTTTGCGGGCAGGCAGATATGCGTGCATGGCGTGGAAGGTGCCACTCTTCCTTCCTTCCTTCCTTCCTTCCTTCCTTCCTTCCTTCCTTCCTTCCTTCCTTTCTTTCTTTCCTTTATTTATTCCTTTCCCTTTCTTTCTTCCTTCCTTTCCTTTTCTTTTTTCTTCCTTCTTTCCAGCCTTTCTTTCTTTCTTTTCTTCCTTCCTTCCTTTCCTTTTCTTTTTTCTTCCTTTCTTCCAGCCTTCCTTTTTTTCTTTTCTTCCTTCCTTCCTTTCTTTCTTCCTTCCTTTCCCTTTCTTTCTTTTTTCTTCCTTCCAGCCTTTCTTTCTTTCTTTCTTTTCTTCCTTCCTTCCTTTCTTCCTTTCCTTTTCTTTTTTCTTCCTTCCTACCAGACTTTCTTTCTTTCTTTCCCTTTCCCTTTCTTTCTTTCTTCCTTTCTCTTCCTTCCTTTCTTTCCTTTCCTTTCCCTTCCTTCCTTTCATTCTTTCTTCCTTCCTTCCTTTCCCTTTCCTTTTCCCTTTCCCTTTCCCTTTATTTCTTCCTTCCTTCCTTCCTTTCCCTTTCTTTCTTTCTTTCTTTTTTTCTTTCTGATTGCTTGTTTGCTTGCTTGCTTGCCCTCTTTCCCCCTCCCTCCCTCCCTTCCTTCTTTCTTTCCTTCCCTCCTTCTTTCCTGTCCTCTCTTTTTCTCTTTCTGTCTTCCTTCCTTTCTGTCTGTCTGTCTGTCTTTCTTTCTCTCTCCCTCTCTCCCTCTCTCTCTCTGTTTTCTGTCTCTATCCATGCCAACATACCCATGAGAGAGAGACAGAAACAGAGACAGAGACATACTTGCAACAGGGACAGATGGCAGGATGCCCAAATCCCAGAATGATATTCTGCATCCAGTCACACCACACACTACAGCTGGTTCCTAAATTAACCCATTTCCTCCACATGTACAAGACCTGTGTCCTAAAAAGTGTGCACCAAATGTGAACCCAAAAAGGTTCCTGCACAAGCTTAACATTAACCAAGCAGAGCACAGAGATGGATTGTATCTGCCTGGCCTTTCCCCGTCCTGCCATGGTTCACGCTGTGCATCCTCCCAGGGTCTCGGTCCTTCTCACACACCAAGGATTTAGGACAGAGCCCTGGAATTCCTTGCTGGCATACTTCAGGATTGGGCCCTGTACTGGGGTATGGGTGGGAGGAGGGTCTGGCCTGGCCTGACAGCAGTGGAGAAAGGGCAAGACTGCACCAGAGAGAGAGATGTCTCTGCCATCCAATCCCAGGCACTGAGTAACTGCTTCTCCTCCCTGCCTGTGGTGGAATGTAGTCTGGATTCCCAGAAGGGAGGGGCTGCGTTAGAGAGAGCAAAGAGAAAGGACAATTTAGATAGTTTGGTCATGAGGAAGAGACGTAACATGGCTCCTCCCTAGAGATTCTCAGACTATTATCTGTAATATGCAAGTAGTTGCTTTATCTGGCAAGATTCCGTCTCTAGGTGAGGAACAGTAAAGGAAACTGCTCAGAAATAACTCTACATATCCTGACTGGTTCTTGGGGCCTGACAATCCCTCTCATTCTAGAACACCCCGGTGTGTGTCTATAATATGCAAGTAGTTGCTTTAGTCTGGCAAGATTCCGTCTGTAGGTGCGGAATATGAAACGAAACTGCTCAGAAGTAACTTTATGTGTCTTGATTCGTTCTTGGGGCCTGACAATCCGTCTCATTCTAGAACACCCTGGTGTGTGTCCCAGGAGGATCGAATTGCAGACCTTGCTTTCATGCAACAACACCTGCAGGGATGACCTGGACTGCTCCCTGACCGAGAAGTGCTGCTTCACCGGTTGCGGCCGAGGCTGCCTGCCCTCACGTATGTCCAGGCCTCCTTCTCCCACTTGCCCCCTTCCCCCCTCTGTCCTCCACCTAAGCTCCAGGCAGCGGGGAGAGCCCACACAAACTCCCTTTTCTCACTCTCTTGCAGTCCGCAGTGAGGTATGCCAGTTACCTCTCGAACAGGGTAGCTGCAAACAACAGTTGCAGCGCTACTTCTATGATCCAGACAAGAAGAAATGTGTCTCTTACCGTGTCTGCGAGGCCAGCCACAGAAACTTTGAGACCAAGGAGCTGTGTGAAAAGGCCTGTGGGAAAATCAGCAAAGGTACAGAGGATCAGTATTGCATTGAGGCCCCTGGTAAGGTCAGCCCAGAAAGGCAACACTCCCCCCCCCCCAAATGAGTTATGTCAGACAAGAAGCATCTTCCAAGCTTCTAGCTCTATTGGAAACTGTCTTTATTAGAGATTAACTTTATTAGGGACACTTCTTGCAAAAATGTAAGTACACTACATCTCTCCCCCTCATTTTTGTAGCCCAAGAAACTAGGGAGGGTCCCTCCTGAGACATTTCCCAGGCCCCAATTCCTCTGGTGGACTCAGCTGCCTCTTCTCTGACTATTGCCTCATCTGCAGTTTTTCCTCCTGTCCCCCAAGGCCGTTCCCACAGACCATTACAGTTGCCACAATTCCTGGAACCCTTTCTGAGGCCACTTTTCCACATGACCCGTTCAGTCCCAACACAACATCAAATCTTAGACCTTTGGGTCCACCTAAAGCATAAGATGAGATGAGATGAGATGAGATGAGATGAGATAGCCTTTTTTGTCATTTTTTTACTGTGGGCACAATGGCACACATCAAAAATGAAATTTAGTTTCCTGCTCTCAAAGTGAAACACATACATGACACACACCTAAAACATACTATATACAACATATGTATAGACCCACACCCCTTCATATACATAACAAATAAATATTAAATATTGTCCATCTTGAATATATAACGGAAGGAGGAAGCTTGAGAGTTCACAAGGTTAATGCTGTATGGAATGAAACTCCGGCTGAATCTGGATGTTCTGCTGCGGATACCACGAAGCCCCCTCCTCCCGAAAGGGAACAAGGAAAACAGGTCGTGGAGAGGATGTGTAGTGTCCCAGATAATCTTACAGACCCTGCTCAAGCAACACTTCTGTGCTATGTTCTGAATGGGAGGAAGGGAACTGCCAATGATCTTTTCGGCCATCCTCACCACTCTCCGCACCATCTTCCTGTCTGAAGCAGTGATGCTTCCAAACCAGACTGTGACAGGATGCTCTCAGTCGTCCCTCTGTAGAAAGTGGTGAGGACAGGGGAAGGAAGATGTGCTTTTCTCATGCAACGCAGAAAATGCAGGCGCTGCTGTGCCTGCTTCACCAGCATCTTGCTGTTGAGCGATCAAGCCAGCCTACTCATTAGCTGCACACCCAGGAATTTGATGCTGGTAACCATCTCCACAGGTGAATCATTAATGCACAGAGAAGTGTGGCTGTGCCTGCCTTTTCTGAAATCAACAATGATCTCTTTGGTTTAATTGGTCTGTTTGTCAGCAAAACCAGGATAAACTGCATGAACTGCAGGGACGTCTCTGCCCAGGAGATTTTTTTCCCACTCCCTGAAGGGCCAGTGGGCAGTCCTTGGCTGGGAAGGGTGGGGAGGAGAAGAAAGCAGAATGACCCACTCAGGACTTCCAGTAGTCTCACATGTCTCTAGGACACAGCTTGTGAGTTGGTGGTTGACAAAATAGATCCACTACACCACCCTGGCTGTCAGAATCCAATTATATTTCATCTTTAATTATCAAATATAGAAACTCCCAATTCTGCCTTCTCTGGATTCTGCCATAAGAGGGAGAGAAAGGGGAGAACAAAGGGGCTTTATGGCCCTCACTTCCTTCAGTAGACTTCTAAGGAGCTGAATGTGTTTACTGCAACATCAAAGAGAGACTTTGAATGTAACTAGCATCAAAGAACCTTACCATGACAAAAGAGAGCTATTTACCTTTCATGTAGTTTATCTGACGTCTCCATACAGACGAAAGAAAGGAGCAAGGGGGTGGAATTGTGATGCCTGAAACTATCACTGGAAGGGGGGGTGATTGGGTGGGACTGCTGGGGAACCCCTTAAAATCTTGAATGGGAGAGCTTGGACCCCAAGTCCTGTCTAGCATGCCTGCAACCACTTCTTCTTAATAAAGGATTCCTGTTGGAAGAATTATTCCAAGAGTTCTGTCTTCTTAAGATGCAAAGTGGGGTGGGTCCTTACACTGGCAAGTGATCCAGGCAGAAGCTGCTATCCACGATAAGGCTAAGCCCCCTCTGCTCTACTCTGCTAATCCAGGAGCAGAAGCCCTTTTCCACCCACCACTCCCCTCTTCTCTTCACAGAGCAACAGCAGCAGCAGCAACAACAACAACAACAAAAACAACGCCCCAAAGAATAAGTCCCTCCACGACATCCCTGCGTGGAAGCGCAACCTTGGGAGCAGATGCCTCCACCACGGCTGCCACGGCCACTGCCCCAGCTGCATTCCTGTTTGATCTTCCTGTCTTCTCAAGAATAAAGACATGACTTTCCCTGCATACTCTGAGTATGGCTCTTGAGTGGGAGATGGTGTGGACTTTGTGGGAAGCAAAGCAAGGACCCTGTGGTTGTCCAGGAGACTTGAGGGACCGTCTCATCCCAATGGGATTAGCCCACCCCACTCATGTCGGCAAAGGAGGCATGCTCTTGGCTTCATCAGCCAGAGTATTCCAGCTGGGGGGGAGGGTCCAGGAGAGGAGCCTTCTCTGCTGCTGCATCTGCCCTCTGGAACATTTTGCCCCCCTGAAATTTCATCAGAACCTAAAGAACTGGCTCTGCCAGTTAACTTGGGCTACAAAGGGAGGGGGTTACATGGGAGGGGAAGATTGATAAAGAACATACCCCGCACCCCACCCCCTCAAATCTCTCCCACTCTCCCTCTCTTTTAATTGGGGTGTAGCATTTGGATCTTCACAATATTTTATTTATGTCCTTTAGGTTTTTTTTTAAGGTTGTAAGCAACCCAGAGGGATAAGATGGGCAATTTTCCAAACCGGTAAGCAAATCAGGACCTCTGGGGTTGTTGCCTGGAGCCAGTCTGTGGGGGATCCATGTCTCTGTCTATATTTGCCATGTAAGCACAATAAAATAAGCATCCCTAACGATAAACATTGCTCCAGCAAGACAGTTTCCCTCTGCTTAATTCTTCGTCCTTCTGGGGACCTCTGGAGCAGGACTTTGAGACGCTGGCTTGTTCACACCATGGAATTTCAAAGAAAGAAGAGAAAGAAGCAGAATAGCAGAACAGCAGAGTTGGAAGGGACCTTGGAGGTCATCTAGTCACTACCACTACTACTAGTAGTAGTAGTACTATTATTATTATTATTATTATTATTATTATTATTATTATTATTATTATTTGGGACCGTGGTGTGCTTAATAAAATTGGTGGGCTGCATCTGCTCATAAAGAAGGGAACACTGGGTGATCTTGACGGGAGGGGACATGTGTAACTCTGTGATTGGCTGTTGCTGCCTATTTAAGGAAATGACTGACTTACCGAGGTGTGGCACATCTGAACACAGCTGCCAGTGTTTTGGACACTGTTCCACCCATCAACTTCACTGGATCAATTAAAGCGCTGTTTACTTTGGAAGCCTCCGCTTGAGTCTCCCGATTTGTCATTTTGGAACCTCAAGTTCTTTGGGTAGCTGTTGACCCTTACACAGTTTTTGTGTGTTCATGCCACACACCGGATCATAGACTAAGCAAAGAGCAACGCATAAAGCCACAAAAATGAATCCAGATTTCACGAGTTCTGAGACGCACTGGCTGAGGACCCCCAATCTTGAAATTAGACGAGGATGGCAAAAAGGATTAAGGAAGCCAGTTCAAAAAAGCTACCTCTGTGGTTCCAGATCAAGTGGGGGCCATCCTGGGGACCCCCTGCCTCAACAGTTTTATTCATTGCTTAGAGGGGGAGAAATGGGTTTCAGAGCCACAGGTGGCACCAGGAGGGCCCTGCAGAGTTTGAAAAGGGTTTGGGGGAGGGGCTGCTGCATAGGGCAAAATGCAGCCCATCCAGACCCCTGCAAGGAGCCTCTAGTGAAAGCACCAGTCCGAGTCCTGCCTTAGGCAAAAGGCCACCCTGGGCCAGTCACTCACTCCCAGCTCTAGTGAAGTGGAATAAAGTGGAATAAAGTAGAATAATGTAGAATAAAATGAAGAATAAAGTAGAATAATAATAATGATAATGAAAAAAAATCATTATTCAAGTAAAATGATGTGTCTGCATAATTCCTGGAAGAAAGCTGTGTTAGCAAAAGGTGTGTTAACAATACGTGACTGACCTAATGCACATTGAGAAACATTGTATAAAGCAAAACTCTTTTCATTGTATGCCTGTGAGAAACTAACCAAATGATATACAATGTAGATTCCATGTGAGCTTCTTTGTTCCTGAGAAAAGGAAAGCTATAAAACTGTAGTTTGGACCCGCCCCCTTTGTTCAGAATTGCTGTTGTTAATCGCTTCTGAACCTTGCGCTAATAAACCTCTCTGTTACACCCTCTGGAATTCATAAAAGTCTTTCGTTTTCCACAAGATTTATGGCGACTCCGCCGGGACTTTTAGGAAGAGGTATTTAACCTTCCAGATGGATTGCCCTGTTGGAGAGCCCCTCTCCTAAATGATGACTGCTCTAAGCCGGCTCCGTGGCCTTTGTCTGCAGGGAGACCTCGACGGGAGGAAAGGGAATTTATCCATCAGCGAAGCACTCCAGTCAAGGATCCACCGAGGGTGACTGACAGGTCTTTAAATCAACAAAGGAGTCTGGAACGCTTGCAGGCAAGTATTGTAAAAGGGGAAACCTGATCCCTTTTGGATCGGAAGAGGGGTCTGATCAACCCCTAGAAGACAAGGCGGCATCCTTAAGTCTTCATAGGTAGGATTGTGTGGGTGGTTAAACCATCGCAGCTCCTGCAGAGTGACCATTGGAACGTCCAGCGCTCCAGGTCGATGGTAGTGTATTAGAGAAAGGAATGGGAGGGAAACAGTCAAAGAAGGGCGTTGGCCAGACGCCACTTCAGTGCATGTTAGAAAATTTCAAAAAAGGTTTTTCTAGGGATTATGGAGATCCAAAACCAAATCCAGCCATGTTAAAAAGATTCTGTGAATCTGAATGGACTACCTTTGGCATAGGGTGGCCTAAGGAGGGATCGGCAAATCCCGAACTCGTGGCACAGGTTCATCAAATTGTGACTGGAAATGGTTATTGGGACCAATACCCCTATATTAACCAGTGGCAGATCAATATTGCAGAAAGACCTCGATGGTTAGCAAAGTATCAGATAGAATGTGCTAAGATATATTTGGCAAGCCAAAAAGCCAAACCTCAGACAAAATCTAAGATTTTCAGCCAGAAAGACAGGGAGGAAATTGCCAGACCCCCCTCTCTATGTTCCTAGAAGAGAAGAAGGGAGAATAAATCAGCAAATTCCACCCCATCTGGTTGAAAGAAATGAAGTCCAACTTCAACCAGAAGCTGGTGAGGAAAGAAAAATAAAAACAGGTGGAACCATTCAAGAGAAAGATAAGGACTTGGATAATGATGAAAGCAAAACAACAGTTTCTAGCCGAACTAGAAGTAAAACAGGGGTGAAAAGAGAAGAAAATATAGCCCCTCTAAGAGAAGTTTTGGTCCTTGGACCAGACAACACCAATATTTCAATGTTCCAATATGTTCCCTTTACCACCACTGATTTACTTAATTGGAGACAACAATTTGGACCATTTTCAGAAAAACCTCAAGAAATAATAGATTTATTCTCAAACATTATCCAGACCCATAACCCTTCCTGGGACGATATACAACAGCTTATCTTTACTTTACTAGATGTGGAAGGCAGAGAAAGATATAAATTAGGGAAATTGAAGGTACTTGCCAGATGACATCCAGAAGGAGGAGTTAATTATGAGACACACAGAAATACTGATGCTGTAGAACAGAGACCAGACTGGAATGCAAATAATGTCCAACACCAGACTTTGTTGCGAAGTTATCAGATGTTGTGTTTAGAAGCTTTGAGGGAAGCAGCCATCCGTCCAGTTCATTATGCTGCCATAACTAATGTTTGGCAGGAAAAAAAAATGAGTCCCCAACTGCTTTTCCCAGCCGACTGATAGAAGTTTATAAAATAAATACAGGTCTTGATATGGAGTTAGCACAAAATCGCCCACTCCTAATTAAAAGATTTATTACCCAGAGTGCCCCGGACATAAAAAGAAAGTTACAACACACAGAAGGGGTCTTAGAGAAGAATATAGCAGAGATTATGGAAATAGCTCAAAAGATGTTCCGTAATTGTGACAAGGAGGCAGAACACAAATCAGATCAGAAAGAGAAAAAGAAAGTTGAAATGTTAGCAGTGGCATTGGAAGGAATGCGTATTGGACACAACCAATGTGCCATCTGTAGACAGGAAGGACACTGGCAAAGGGAGTGCCCCCAGAGGAATGGCCAACCCAGGGGACAATGTCACCAGTATGGAAGAGGAAGAGGATTTAGAGGGACTTTCCAGAGAGGCTACAGGGGAAGCTTCAAAGGAAGAGGGCATCCAGCCTATCCCAATCAGACAGAGGAAAGAGAAGAAAACATGATCGGCTTAGCTGACATGGAATGGGAAGACTGAAAAGGACAGGGTTCTATAGCCCCACCCCCAGAGCCCATTGTTAAAATACGGGTGGGAGGACAGATTGTCCCAATGTTAGTTGAGACGGGAGCCACCAGATCTGTCCTAAATAAATCTATTGGCAAGCAATCAAAGCAGACCATACAAATTCAGGGAGTATCTGGAGAAACTCAAATCAGACCACTCCTGGAACCTCTAACATGCCAAGTGGGAGAAGGAGCATTAAACATCAGTTTCTATATGCTCCAGAATGTCCCATTCCATTATTGGGCAGGGTTCTGCTTATTAAATTAAAAGCTACAATATCTTTTGAACATGGAAAACAATTAATACATGTGTGCCACCCAGTGGAAGAAATATGACGCTTGATGATAATGACAGAGAAAGAAACAGGAAATTCTAATTGGCAGCAGTTTAATGTTTCATTCCTGTGGGCAGAGGATAATCCCCCTGGATTTGCAAAATATGCCACGCCCATTATGGTAGAACTAAAGCCACAGGCATATCCTGTTGGGGTGCCTCAACGATATTGTACTCCAGAGGCTGCAATTGCCATTCAAGAATTAATCCAAAAATACTTGATAGCAAAAATCATTAGAAAAATTCAGTCACCCTGGAATACTGCAATTCTACCTGTTCGTAAGCCCAACAGACAGTGGAGACCAGCACAGGATCTATGCCCCGTTAATAATTTGACCCTAACCCTACACGCAACCGTTCCTAATCCATATATTCTTTTGAGCACAATACCTGCATCTGCTAAATGGTTTTCAGTTGTAGACTTAAAGGATGCATTTTTCACCATACCCTTAGCTGAGAGTTGTCAGCCAATCTTTGCA